GCTGACTTAAAATAGGAAACATTAAGAAATGACTTGAAAGTCCAAATAATTGCCTAACTTCATATTTTATTTAATCATTTTCAGTACTCAGCAAATGCATCAGCGTTAGATGGATTCAATTTGGAGTTAGAAACTCAAGTTTTCCCCGTTTCAGTAGGAATTTATAGAGTTGATTTGCTGGCAGTTGGCCAGAATAAAAAGAAAGAGTCGAATGAATCAGCAGGCAAGTCCCCCATTCTGGGTTCAGTTTATTTGATGGTCAACATTTTCCTCTTTTTCTTACTGTTTCTTGGAAGAGATTCTCCACTGGATCTCTGAATCATCTAGAGAAATGAACTGGCCGTGAATCACGTGCACACAAATCGTCCTACACCCAGGGTCCCTTGGCCAGTATACCCAAAGCACTCAGCTCTCTGCCCTGGATGAGACTCGCAGCAGGTGAGCCTGGAAAGACACCGTACCCCAGGCTGGGGGCCTTGTGACCCCATGACAGTTGGTGAGGGAGCCAGATGCCAGGGACCTGCATTACAGTGGGGCACCTGGCAGGTTTCTTCACTCCTCAGGGGGTTTCCTGGTCTTTTAAAACAATATACATATAGATTATACATACATAGGTTATACCTGAAGTGCTAGGCTAATAAAAACAATGTCAGCCTACAGAAAGAGATCCAAGAACCTGGCAAATAATTTATGATAAAATACCACTGCAATCCTACATAGGAGATCAGTGATGGCCTCTTTTCTCTGAACTGTTTAATAATTTCCTTTTTTTTTTAATTGTAAAGGAAATAGTATTCACTGTAGGTAATTTGGAGACTATAAAAAGCCACAAAAAAGAAAATGAAAATCACTCATAATTCAATCACCTGAGGATGAACACTGTTAACACTTTTTTTTTTTTTTAAGATTTTTTACTTATTTGACAGAGAGAGACACAGCAAGAGAGGGAACACAAGCAGGGGGAGTGGGAGAGGGAGAAGCAGGCTTCCGGCCGAGCAGGGAGCCCAAGGCGGGGCTCAATCCCAGGACCCTGGGATCATGACCTGAGCCGAAGGCAGACGCTTAACGACTGAGCCACCCAGCTGCCCCAAACACTGTTAGCACTTGATATCTGTTTCTCCAGTCTGCTTTTCTAACATATCTATATTTATATTTTATTAGATGTAAATTGAAATTACAAAATACATGATGTTTGCAAGCTGTGTTTTTCTTTTAACGCGTTGTATTTCCCAAATCTTTAAGTATTCTTCAAAAACATAATATTAACACCCTCCACAGTACTCACTCACTATTATAAAAGGTAGTGTGATCAGCATTCTTACCCATAAATCTTCCCTCGGTATCTCTGCATGTTTCCTTAGGCCAGCAGAAATTATTTTGTTCTTGTTGTTTCCTTTCTTATTGTCTGACTCTCCACACTCTCATGACAGCTCCTTAAAAATAAGGACTTGTCACTCTGTTGCTCAGACAAGGCAACATAGTAGATGCTGGATTAACACTGGGTGAGTCAAGGCCATCTTAGTCATGGGAATTTAGCCGATTCTTTCCAGAAGTGGAATTCCCGGCTCACAACGTATGCATTTGCCTGGCTCAGTTGCCTACCTGAAATGCTGTGGGAGTCCCCACTCTCACTGATCTGGATGGAAATGCCCATGCAGACATATGACACTTGCTAACGCTGGGTGTCATATGTCTTTTGGTCTATAAACCTCTCAGTGAAAAAATGATATTTTATTTCAATTGCTAGTAATCATGTGTTTGTAGACTCTTTAATTCTTTAATTGAAGTGGTTTTCTGTTGCTTGCAAAATATTACTCTTTTGTCTGTCTTGCGCTAGAAAAATCTTTTTTTTTTTCCATTTTGTCATTTGCTTTTTAATACTGTAAATATTTTTTTTTGGATACGTAAAAATTTAAAGATCTTACCGATCCACTTGATCAGTCTTTTCCTTGGATGTTTTGGCTTTTGTTTCTGTGTTTATAAAGGCTATGCCCCAAGAACAAACAAATTAGTCCCTTTTCTTTCTAGTTCCTTTATGATTCCTTACATCTATATTTTTAATTCATCTGGAATTTTTTTTTGATACCTTGTATTGATCTTGCTTTTTTTTTCCTTGTGCTAGCCAGTTGTTTCTCCAGCATATACCAAATAGCCCATTCTTTCCCCTACTTTTCAAATGCTACCTGTATCGATTGTTAAAATCTCATATACTCTCAAATTTATTTCTGAGCTTTCTGTTTTGTTCCATTTATCTGACTATTTTTGTACCAGCACCAAACCATTATATTGTATTTCTACACCTAATAGTGTAAACCGACTGTCATTATTCTTCCTCTTCAAAGTGTTCTTGGCTGTTTTTACCAATTTATTTTTCTAGGTCAGAGGTCAGCAAACTTTCTGAAAAGAGCCCGATAGTAAATGCTGGGGGCTCTGCAGGCCATTGTCACAGCTACTCAGCTCTGCTTCTGTAGTACAAAGTAGAAATAGACAGTAATAAACAAGGCTGTGCTCCAGCGAAACTCATTTATAAAACAGGCGGTGGGGTGATTTGTCCTGAAGGCCTTAGTTTCCCAGCCCCTGTTCAAGATGAATTTTTGAGTCATTGTGTCAAATCTTTCCATATTCTTACCTCCCTCACATATACACAAATAACATTTGTGTGTGAGTATCTGTGTGTATGTGTATATATACTAATAAATACTTTTTGTGTATATGTGTGTATATAATACATTACATATATGGAAGGAAAGAGGAATTTGGTTAACATGACATCATACTTACAGTGATGTGGGAGAAATGTGACATCTTGATAAAATAGGGTCTTTCCCTTGGACAGCATCAAGCATTCCTTTATGTCCAGCACCAAAATTGTATGGTTTCTTTCATAGAGGTCCTGCCAATTTCTGGTTAACTTTAATCTTTGCGTTGTTTTTCACTGTAGTTGAAACTGTGACTGGGATCTGTGTTGGGGATCCCACGGCCCCCCACCTGTTCCCTGATTCGCTGGGAGGACCACAGGACTCCGAGGCAGTTGCACTCAAGGCTCAGCAAGGGGGAAGACCCATCAAGCGGGTGGGAGAAATCTGTGTACAGACAGGCTCCCCATTGGCTGCCTCCCAGCAGGAGGGCTCACCCAGGTCCTTCCTCCCCCCACCACCCCCTCAAATGCAGCACCATAATTCTCCTGTCTCCACTTCTAGCTTTCATCTTACTTCCACACCATTTCCTTTCGGGTATGCAGAATGTACTTTGCATTCACTGGGAGAACGTGATGCAGTGCAGGGTGGCTTGCAGAGGGCAAGCTCACTGCACTGACCTGGGTCCCAGAATTAAATCCTATAGGCTGAAGCCTTCCTTGGGAATGGTTTCTCTCCCCTGCTTCTTTATGGAAACTCTTCTCTGTAGTGAATCATCAGAAGTGTTCATCTCATTCAGCTCATTACAATCAAAGAAACTGCTTCATTGCAGTGTGAAGAATCTTGGAAAGCCTACGGACTCTGGATGGTAAATCTCAAGCCCTTCTTAAGACAGGCTTAACATAACCTGTTGGAAGAGGCTGGTTCTCTTTGTAGTTTGGCCCTGCTTTTACCAAAAAGGCTAAAGGAAACAAAGCTGCTTCTGCAGCTGGGGTTCAGCAATCTGTTTCCACACACCCCGTCTTGGCTGACCCGGGAGTACCCACACTCCATGCTGATTCTGTAACCCTCTCACCCTCTCTCAATTACCGTTTTTTTATCTCCGGGGCTCTGGCCTCCTAGAGGCTAAGGGGCAGCTGGAATTTTAATTGTTTCATAACCCCGAAATTCATCCAGTAAATGGCATTCCCTGGCCTTCTGTGAGTGAGGCACTTTGAATGTAAACAGAACTGATTTCATTACCATAGGTCTGACTCTGATGTAAGTGACTTGCATGGGAGCCTCCTTCCCAGGCTGTTTGGGCCGGGGCGGGGGAGGGGGGGGGAGGTTGCAGCAGAGGAATGAGCAGAGAGGCTCTGAGCCCCCTTGAGATGAACTCCCAGAGGATCCAAGGTTCCAGGTCTGTGCCTGGTGCCTCATGTAGGGCAAGGCTGTGGAGGGGAGGGGGCAGCCGTCAGGGAGAACCCCTTCCCACTCACAGGCTTGCTGGGGTCTGAATGAGAGCCGGCAAGTCTTAAACTTTCCAAACCGCCTTCTCCTGGCTTATCTCAGGATTCCGTTCATCTTTTCAGGTTTCACATCCTTTTGTCTCCCCCCTAGGATGCTTCTCAATCTGCTGGCCAGTTCTTTCAGTCTTCATACCATACTTCAGCAGGGACTGTTTTGGCTCCCTGCTATTCCATCTCAGACATCCCTGGCCCTTTTATTTATATTCATGTTTGTATTTCAGACACATTTCTTGCTAATAGCAGGCAGAGGTGCACTGCACCATATGTAAAACTAGGCAGCGACCCAGCCCACTGAAGGGACACAGTCAAGGCCATGTCACATGAATAACTTATGGACTTACAGGAACTTGAAGATGTAGGTTTAGTCATGAATTGAAGAGGGCTGCGTGGCAACCTGGATTAGGTTTTCTCCATAAACACAGGCCACCCTTCTCTCCCTTCCTACCACTGTGTTATCTGGTCATTTACCCATAGGCACTCAGGAAGCACCAATTAATTTTGATATTTGCCCCCAAAAAATGTAATTAGGAAGGTAAAGCAGCTCCAGAAATGTTACATATCTGTTTTCAAAACTTTCTACCATCTTCCCCCCATTATTACAAATTATCCAAACCACCCTCCCTTCTCATTAAACTGAATAATTGAGGAATACTCCAGATACAATCATGAGGGTTCAGAGGCCTAGCCAAGCCTATTCAGCAGCATTTAAACATTGACTCTAAGTGGTTCCTTGATTCCAGGGGGGGAAGAAAAGCGCCTCTGTCCATTGCGTGTATCCCCTACCAGTGGGGATGGTGTGAGCCTGGTGCCTGCATGTGACTCCTCTGTAACAGAATGTCCCTTGGATCTATTTCAGAGTTCCCTGAAAAGAAGAGGCAGCCGGGAAATGTACAAAGAAAAGAAAACCCTTAACCAGGTAAGCAGAGGGATCCTTCTCATGTTACAGCTCCTCGAGGGGCAATCATCTCATTCTGAATTGTCTCAAAAGCATTAGCATTGCCTTTAAAATATTCAAAGAAACATTACCTGCCAAAAAATGGGAACTCACTCAAAACCTCCACGGGGTGAAAACGTTCACTCTAAACCACCAGCTCCTCTGTTTTGTTTCTCACACTGATGAGTTGGTGACGTCTTCAAGAAAGACAAGAACAAACGGACTCTGCGAAACATAATTTGGTGTAATTCAGGGCTCTCTGGTAGTCCTCACAACTGATGGAGTGTATTCTGGCCTTCAAAGTCATTCACAGTAAAATAGTACAGCTACTGTCGTGTTGGGTCATTCATAAGGCAATGTTTCCAGTGTTGGGTTGTTTTTTTGTTTGTTTGTTTGTTTTTAATGTGCAAGCTGAACAGTATCCCAAACTGTCCTAATTGAACATGCAGTGTTCTCACCGGGGGATGGTAAAAGCATCGCCCTTTCCGTGTACACAGTTTGTGTTCTACAGAAATGCCTGAGCTCTTCTGAACACTTGCTTTACTAGATTCCTTACTTTTTTTTTTTTTTGGAAAAAAAATGAATGGTGCTGGTATTAGGTATCGGAGAGAACAAAGGCAGGAGTGGGTGTCAGCTCCCCGAGCTCTCAGAGCAAGTAGTAATTAGAGAGGCGCAAGAAGTCCGGGTAACCGAGAGCTCCGCTGGCCTGCCCCGTGAACTCCACCCTCGATCTGCTTTGTTGTGCCCTTAGCCCAGAATGTCCTTCAAGGAGGACTGGGCCATGGGAACAGAGGGAATGCCCAAGATTAACCTTTCTCCTCTGCCTCGCTCCTCTCCTCATCTCACTTGGCGTCCACTAATAACGGGGAAATAAAAAACTGCAGTCCCTGGGCTGGGGGCTGGGACCCTCCTGGGCTCCGAGGATGTCTCAGCTTCCTGGCTCTTGAGCAGGGCAGATCTCCCTTAAGAGGGTAAGCACTTCCTCGTTCTGGACTGAGCGGCATGGCGCCGCGTTCACGGGGGGGTCGCTCGGGCTGAGAATGGCCACCGCTGCCCCTGGCAGGCTCTCAGAACTACTCCGGGCACCGGGAATGTGTTACGTTCCCCCTCCGCCTGCGCTATCATTGAGAAAAAGGAGTATTCTGTCCAGCAGAGTGGTGGACCCGAGCGCCTTGGAAACTGCAGGTCTGCAACCAAAACTCAAAGGAAACCGGCACCCCGGCGCAAGGTAGGAATGCGAGTAGTCAGCGCTTGGGGTGCTGGCTAGACGTCAGACTTGCAAGCCAAAGAATATATACCCAGAGCGATATATTTTTGCTGCTTGACAAGGCCTTTCCGGCTGCTGGTGGTGGTGCTGGTGGTGGTCCCCTGTGTGTCCTCCCCTCCGTGCTGTGCTTGCCTTCTCTGCCTGTGACAGGACCCGTGTGGTATGGAAAGTTGGGACCGTCTGCTTTCATACTGCATTCCCAGAGCTATCTGATGATCTCTTGAAACCAGAGCTTGATATCCTTCAGTTTAGGATTCAGCCTAGACCCCTCCCCTGGAATTTTGGCAGGGTTTTAGAAAGTGTGTGGTTACAAGATCAGATGGGGACCCAGGCTCTTGCTGCTCCAGCTGAGGCTGTGATTCCCCATCTTATGAGAAGGAGTGGCCCCCTGCCCCCAGAACAGGCTGAGCCTGGCTTCCTGGGCCTCCTGTCTCCCGCCCCCCCCCACCCTCCCTCCCCCGCTGGGCCCTGGCAGGCGCAGCGCACAGCGCCCAGCTCCAGCCACCTGGACCAGCGTGAGCAAGTCTGACCCTTTCACTAAATGCACACACTCTCTTGGCTTAAAAGATTGTCTTTGGAAAACTGCTTTAACGTTGGTGGCAGGTCTGGTGTCGTTCATGGGTGTTGAGTTAAAACAATAGCATGCTTGAATTATGTCAGAATTCCTGGTGTATGTAGTTTCTGTTTTTAAGGAACCAGAAGACTTTTTGGATACTTTATCGGTCCTCAGGTAATCTATGAATCAGACCCTCCTTAGGGTGTGTTGTAGAATCTTCTTTAATGGACTGGGGTCTAGCTAGGTTCAGGAAGAAGGAGAACAGTTCTGGTTTTAGTCAGACTTGGGAGTGGTGGTGGATGGGGGAGTGGGATTTGAGGTTTAAAAAGTTTCTAGAAACCAAGGTGATGTGAGGGCTCTTTGGGATTGTCTACCCTAAGCACTTAGAGCTGAGCGTTTCAGAACCATTGGGTAAGGCCAGGGTTCTGCAGGCCACTCAGAGATCCTACCCCTTTTCTCAGTTTCTCAGTTCAACTTTTGTGGGGAGGACCCTCAGGGAAGATCACCTGAGACTCCCAGATCTTGGTCTGAGACCAAAACCTCCTGAGCTATGCAGGTAACGCTGCCCCTTGTCTGCGCATTTCCAGCCTGTTCTCCCACCGACCAGGGCCTCAGGAGCTGCAGATTTCTATGGAAGTGCGTGGGGGTGGGGCATTGGTCACAGCAGGTGGTCCTGCCCATTCCTGGGTCTGCCCAGGCTCCAGGTGGGCAGATGGTGGCGTTCCCTTTGGGCTGGCGACATTCTCTTCCACGAAATCAGCTGCTGTCCTCAGGCACAAAGGTGGATTCTGTGCTTCAGGGTGGAGACAGGATCATTTAGGTGATTGTGGACAAAGGACACACCGCTGGCTATGAAGTGGAATGTTGGGGCTGAGGGCATGGGCTGTCTCCCCTCCTAGGCTTTTCACTCCCAAATTAATCCATTTACAAAATGTTGACAGTCTGTCTCCATTGGTATTTATGTTTGCTTATTTAAACTCCATTCCTTCATGTGAACTGCAGAGCCCTCTCTGTGTATTTGCATGCGTAGACTTCTTGCAGATCTATGTTTATCAAATAATTGAAAGGGTGCTTTTGATCTGTTCTTGAAAGTTTTAAGGAACTGGGGTCATTTAAAAGTAACTTTCTGGCACATAGTGGATTCTCAGTATTCACTGAAAGAACGAACGAATCAACAAACAAGCATGCTTTTCCCTTAGTCTTAGGATTATATACATCTTTTATAGCCCCGTGGCACTGGCTCACAGTTGGCCTTAGATTTTTCCTTGAGTCTGCCCTGTCACATCATTTTTTTTCCCTGCTATATGGGTTTGGGGTGCAGGAGGAGGGATCGAGGCAGGATAGAAGGAAGACAGTTGGGAGGCACCAAGGTGGGTATTTCTGTATCTTGCGACCCAATGGTGAGTGTGCAGCAAGACCATGGCAGAGAATGAGCCCTGTTCTCTGAGTGTGAAATCTGCCTCTAACTCCCCTAGACCGTTTGAACACAAGCAATGACCTGAAAGTTCATTCTCCCCCAGAGGGCTGACTTGTTCCAAGACTGGTTTGATGCCTCTCCCTCCCCGGGGGCTGATGGGGTATGGCTACCATGGACCATGTTGTTGAGTCTCTCTGTGGGATGGGGAAGCCTTTGCCAAAGTCTTTGTCCCCACAACAGCCTTTTGAAACTTGTGATAGCCAATCAGAGAGGAATGATTCATGAAATCGGTCATTTTTCCCATTCACTGAATGGGACTAGTGAAACATTTGTGCAGGCCCACATCAGAGTTCATATAGTTCCCAGGCATTGAGATCTGCCCTGGGAAGGCCCAGTCAGCATTCCAAACGGTCCATAGCATGCCTCCAGGACCTCAGCCACGCGGTGTGGCCTTTTAGTAGCAGGGAGTCTGCTTTGGTGACCCTCCAGAGTCCTCTAGTGATTCCAGTGAGAACCTTTTCTCTGGTTCTGAAACCTCTAACTCTGGCCTTGGGTTTCTGAGTTTCATTTCCTGCTGTGCTATAGCAAGTAAAGGGGGTGGAACAGAAGCAAAGACTCTGATGTTGCCCTTGCCTGGTGAAAGGTTGCGAGTAACCTGGGTGTTAGGTCTGCGGTGACAGTTCATCTTAACCGCAAGAGCGTGGTACTTACTCTAGACCGCAGCTTCCAAATCCCCCTCCTGCCTGTCATCCCATGCCCTTGTCCTCGTGTCATCCTTGTGATATGCTGGGGGTGGGGAGACCCGAGGAGGAGTAGAGGTGATTGCCACATCTCAGTGTCTCAGCAAATCGGTGCAATGATCAGGGCCTCCCCATCCTGGCTTACCTGTGGGCTGCCGGCCACTTCAGGTGAGGGAGGTCCACACTGGAGGAAGTGAGTGGCAGCAGGTAGAAGTAGCTACTGATGCCTGTCTGCGGTACCAGGCTTAGTGAGGGGTTCTGGCATCTCTCACTGGTGCTGCTGATTAGTCAGATTGGACCCACAAAGTAAGGAGGGACTGCCGCGTTGCTAACAGGCACTGGGTCTCATTTCATTCTACGTCCTCTGCACTCATCATCTGTATCATGGAATCCACGTGCATGTTTTTCCCAAATGAATTGTTTGGTTTCTTTGGTTTCTGTGACAAAGCCACAGACCGTAGGCCTTTGCAGTGTCTGCCCCGTGAAGGCCTGGGCTCACGTCGGCATTGTCTTGGCTCCTTTGACCTGGAACTCGATACACTGATGTAAAGATCATGGTTGTGTGTGTGTGTGTGTGTGTGTGTGTGTGTTGGGGGCGAGGTGCAAGGGAAATCACCACAAACACGAACATGTGGTATTTTTAAATGTTCTCTCCTGGCAGGATGACAGTGCTGATTTGAAGTGTCAGCTTCAGTTTGCCAAAGAGGAAGGCTCCCTGATGCGTAAGAAGATGGCCAAGCTGGGGAGGGAGAAGGACGAGCTGGAACAGGAGCTCCAGAAGTACAAGGCCCTATACGGAGACGTGGACAGCCCTCTCCCCACGGGGGAAGCAGGCGGGCCGCCCAGCACCAGGGAGGCCGAGCTGAAGCTGCGGTTGAAGTTGGTGGAGGAAGAGGCCAACATCTTGGGCCGGAAGATCGTGGAGCTGGAGGTGGAGAACCGAGGCCTCAAAGCGGAGATGGAGGACCTGCGGGTCCAGTATGAGCGAGAGGGTACAGGCCGGGACCACATGGCAAGCATTCCTACCTCACCCTTTGGTGACTCCCTGGAGTCCTCGACGGAGCTCCGCCGGCACCTGCAGTTCGTGGAGGAGGAAGCGGAGCTGCTCCGGAGGTCCATATCCGAGATCGAAGACCACAACCGGCAGCTGACGCATGAGCTGAGCAAGTTCAAATTTGAACCCCGGCCGGAGCCAGGGTGGCTGGCGGAGGGCACGGGCAAGGGTGCGGCCAGCGGGGCCCCTCTGCAGGAGGAGCTCAAGTCGGCGCGGCTGCAGATCAACGAGCTGAGTGGGAAGGTGCTGAAGCTGCAGTATGAGAACCGGGTGCTGCTGTCCAACGTGCAGCGCTATGACCTGGCCGCCCACCTGGGCCTGCGCGCCCCGAGCCCCCGGGACAGCGATGCGGACAGCGACCAGGGCAAGAAGGAGAGCGACGGGGAGGAAGGCCGCCAGCCCCAGCCCAAGCGGGAGGGCCCTATTGGCGGTGAGAGCGACTCAGAGGAGATGTTCGAGAAGACGTCGGGCTTTGGCAGCGGAAAGCCGTCGGAGGCAAGCGAGCCATGTCCGGCCGAGCTCCTGCAGGTCAGGGAGGACACCGAGTGCCTGGCAAGCATAAAGCACGAGGCTGAGCGGCTCGAGCGGACCGTGGAGCGCCTCATCACGGACACCGCTGGCTTCGGCGACAACATGGGGCTGCGGGGCAGTGGCGAGGCCTCACTGGGGCCTGACGCCCAGGGGGCAGGGGAGACGGACGAGACAGGCAAGAAGGAGCCCCCACTGCTGGGGACCATCAACTCGAGGATGAAGGCTTTTAGGAAGGAGCTGCAGGCCTTCCTGGAGCAGGTGAACAGGCTCGGGGATGGCCTGAGGGAGCGCCTGGAAGACCTGTCCCCCTTGCCCCACCTCACAGAATCTTCCAGCTTTCTCTCCACTGTGACCTCCGTGTCCCGGGACTCCCCGGTCGGGACCCTGGGGAAGGAGCTGGTCCCAGACCTGCAGGTAAGGGGGCTCCTGGCTCTGCCTCCCTGCTCCGTTTTGCTCTTCCTCCTTCTTGCTGGCATTGCTGCACTTGAACTCATCCTGCTCACGGCTGCTTGGTTATGATTTCAAACCTGCATTGTACTAAAGCCTCAAGTGTCAACCAAATCCTTTCTATTGGTTGGGTTTCTGGTTTTTGTTTTTTGTTTTTTGGGGTTTTTTTTTAGTTTTCTTTTATTTCCTTGTTTCTTTTTCCTTTTTTCTCTCTTTTTTTTTTTTTAACTGCGCCGCTGCTCTTGGCTTAGAGGCCCTCCCTCATGACACAAGGCTCACCCCAATGGCAGCGATAGGGACCGACGCAATCCGTCCTTTTTCCTTTTTCCTTTGGTGTCTCAAACGACCAGCTGTCTCAATGAAGAAGCAGAGGAGTTTAAAACAAAGTACAAACTCATTTCACAGTCAGGATACTTAGCAGACTGGCTCAGGAGCATGTGCATCCCTACCTGGGTTGATGGCCAGAGGGACGCAGTGCAGGTCCGAAAGGCCCTAGGCAGCCAGGCGCACCCGCTCCCACTGGAAGATGAGCCAGAGTGGGGAGAGGAGCCGGCCCGGGAGAAGGATGGCGCTGAGGAGCAAGTCGCTGCCCTCCCCAAGCCGAGGGTGAGGGCGGAGTGGAGTGGCCCTCCAAGGACTGTTTTCCTATGCATCGCCCTTGGGTGCATGACCCAGCTGCCGCCTGGATTATGGCTTTTGCTGCTCGACCACAAGCGAGGAAGGAGGAGCCTTGTTTCCGTATCCTTCATGGGTAGTGTGCTTGCGGTTGAGTCTTTGATTCACGCATCCCCATTGCATGCGCCTCATAACCAGTGTTCTGCCTTCTTCCCCCCTCTGTTTCTCTTGTTTGCTTTTCAGATCTTTCAGCCATTGTTTTGCTCATCCTCATTTTGGTTCTGTTCTTGTCCCTCTCGTACGGCACTGTGTCTGTTCAAGCTTTTCCTCGTCCGGTGGTGGTTTCCATCGTCTACTTTACCCATTTTTGTTTTCTTCAGCACCTCCCTTCCCTGCCCCACCCCTCTTCTCCTTTGTTGTTTATTTAAAATTAAAAACAAAACAAATCCAAATCCCTCCCATGCACCTGACAGTCCAAACTGAGAGGTCAGCCGGAGTGGCAGCCGGGGCAGGAGCACGGGGATGAGCCAGAGCCGCTGCACCGCCGAGCCGACGGGGACGCTGGGAGCTGCCGGCTGGGAGGCCAGAGCTGCTTCAGTCTCGAGGTCAGCGACCACCTGGCCCCAGCGGCCAGCAACCCCTGCCCTCCCAACCCTCCTTTGGCTGTGTGGCTGGCTGTGTGGTGTTTCCTACCTGGGTCCAAGGCCCTTAAGGGACATACATGGTGGGCGGGTATGGAACCAGGCGGGACTCCCCCGAAATCAGGATCCATTGCATGCAACTGGAATGGGAGGGTCCGCACAGGGTGAAGGCGGGCACCCGCCAGCTCCCCTTGTCAGACAAGCATCGTCCTGCCTGTGGACGCCTGGAAACACAGCAAGGCATAGGGGACTGATTTGTGAGTGTTACGTAGCTTTCTGTCAAACAGGAAAGAAAACAGGCATGAAAACCAAGGACTATCTTTGCTGGGCTGGAGGAAACTGTCCTTCCCTGTGTCTCATGTGGCCTGTCCTGTAGTTTCCAGGGACAGGGCTCCAGCCAGTGGGCAGAATCAGGGAGTGCACTCCCAGCCTGGGGGCTGGGCGGCAGCATTCTCTGTTGCCATAGAAACCTCTTGTCAACAAAACTCCCAGCCCCCACAAAGGCTACCAGAGGGACTCCATCATATGAAACAGTTGTCAGCAGTCCTGTCGGTGAAAGCTCTTCCTGGCAAGTAATTCTACCCACAACAGAGACAGGTGTCACCAAGGAATGAATCCCTGGCTCTGATACTGCTGGTCAAGGCGGGTTATTGCAGGAGTAGGGCACCATGAAAAATTATTTTTTTAAAAGATTTTTTTTATTCATTTGAGACACAGAGATCCAGAGAGAGAGAGCATGAGCAGGGGGAGAGGCAGAGGGAGAGGGAGAAGCAGACTCCCTGCTGAGCCAGGAGCCCGATATGGGGCTCGATCCCAGGACCCTGGGATCATGACCTGAGCCGAAGGCAGACGCTTAACCGAGCCATCCAGGCGCCCCACACCATGAAAATTCTTAATTCATCAGTCCCAGTAGGGGTGTTACTGCTCAGCTCCAGGGGATCCTGGTGGCTCCCAGACAGCAGGAGTGACAAAAACAAGGGACTCACTCCTGTAAGCACACTGAGCTCATTCAGCAAAAAAGTCAGGCATTTGACTAGGAAATGATGCTCACAGAGGCACTTGGGGTAGAGCCGCGTCTACGCCTTTCAGCTCAGCTTGTGGCCAATGCCTTGATGAGCTGTGGGTCCCACGGTCCCAGGTGGGCACACGGGACTGCTTGCTCACCCAGACCCAAGTTCCCGGATCTCCAGTCTGGGTTCTTCCCTTGTCCTGTAGGAGAGTACGTCACATCTCTACCCTCATTGATTTGGGCACACAGTGACATGAAAACTGCCCTTGAAAAGCTTACATAAAAACAAATGTGGATTTAAGGATTGGTATGTCTTATATCTCTGTGAAACTTCTACAGGAAGCCCCTACAATCAGCCTGTGCCCAACACAGGGGCTTCGTCTGAGAATGCTGGTTGCTTTGGCAGTAGCAAACTCACAATTATGCACATTTCAAAACAATTGAATGATTCATCTCCAGGATGACACCCTCAGGAAGACACAATTCCTGGTCTTCAGTGAAGACTAGCTAGCTAGACTGCTAGCTCTTTCTAGCAGGGATGCCACGCTGTGCTAGAATCCACTCTGGCAGGGGCATCTGGGGCCCTGGGCTCGAGTCCAGCTCTGTCCATGACCAGCTCTGTTTCTCAAGCAAGTCTCAGCCTCTGTTTTTGTATCTGTGAAATGGGAAGAAAAATACTGTCCTACCTGCCTCGTGTGATTATATGTGGATGATTCTCAGAGCTGAGGAGCTCTTGGCTGAGAAAGCACCATGAACAGTGCTAAATGCTGTGTGAACGTAAAGTCTGACTGATAATAAAGAGGGAACGGTGTCCCGCCACTGAAGACTGCTAAGTGGGAAGGGCTGTCACAGCTCCCCTTGTTGTGGGCCCAATTTCCTCTGCCCACTCTAGCCCTTTCTCATTTTTCCCTGGCTGTTTCCTGATCTGGACAAGCACAGCTCTTGCTCAACATGGCAGCCCCGTTCTCTGGGAGAGCAGTTTGAGGTTAACTCCCGCTTCCTTCCCATATGTTCATCACTCGGGGCATGTCACACGTCACCTTGTTTAGCTAAACGCTGATAAGATGTTGTTTAACACTGGGGCGTTGATAAGTTTCCCTGTTGCCTGACATATTTGCACATGGCCTCGTGTAGCTTCAGAAACCAGCAACTTTGGAGAGAGAAACCTAGTTTGTTGACTCAAACTGAGTGTTGTGGGAATATAAACCTCCACAGGAGGTAGTTTAGCAGAGCTAGCTGGTGCCATGTGGTGACTTGGGATCACTGCACAATACAGCTCAGAAGGGAATGTCAGATCTTCAGGCGAATGCCTCCATTCCATGAATGAGAAAATGGAGGTCTGAGAGTGAGGCGGCTTGCCAGTAAGCCCCCGGGAGTTTGGTGGGTGAGCTGGGTCTAGAATGGTCTCCCCAGGCCTGCTTCAGCCATCTCTCCACCCTGCCATGAGGAGCGCTGCTCGGAAGAGTGCCGTCCACTCGAGGTCACTCACGTGACTGACTGCACACCAGCTCTCTTGCCATGCTCTGTTGCTTCCCTTAAACATCTGTTCAGTTTCCTTTAATTTTACAAAGTTTGATGAGAAAGTTAAAAAGCTCATGGTGAAAGGCAAGTCCCAGACAACATCATTTCCTAGAAGGGGGAATAGTATTCACTGGGACTGAAACATCCTTTGTTCTGACTTCTTTATCCACTACGGCATTTCACATGGAAGACTCAATTATGTATGCAAACACGTTATATTTTTAAATACTTTTTAAAAGACAAAACGTATTCTAGGACCACTTGGATAGCTCTGTAGCTTTTCTTTTTATGAGAGGAGCCCAACATAGATCTGTTGCAGAGTCGGGGTCTTAGAGGAGCTGCTCGGTCCCTGGGGTGGATGTCCCCTGCTGGGAGTTTGGTCTTCCAGTATTACACTGGGTTAAAGAATTGGACAATGGACAATGCTAGAGGCAGAACTCTTTTTTTTTTTTTTAAGATTTTATTTATTTAAGAAAGCGAGAATGAGAGAGAGAGGGAGAGAGCACATGAGAGGGGGGCGGGTCAGAGGGAGAAGCAGACTCCCCGCTGAGGAGGGAGCCTGATGCGGGACTCGATCCCAGACTCCAGGATCATGACCCGAGCCGAAGGCAGTTGCCGAACCAACTGAGCCACCCAGGCACCCTAGAGGCAGAACTCTTAAAGGCGTTTTAGTGAAAACATCCCCAGATCCATTGCCCACAACTTTCCAATGAGGCTATCATGGAAACGGTACATGGAGCTCCCATCAGTGAGCAGGGCAGCCCGACCCAGAAGCTGCTCCCAGTGGAGCCTCATACACGCAGCCCGACACCACAGAGCACCACCGTAACTGCAGAAAAGGTAAACTCAGACACTTTCATCTAGAATGAGTCTAAGACTGAAGCCGGTGTACCTCGAGCAGTGTTCTTCCTTCCTCTTACATTGTCCTTGAAATTACTAATTATCTGTGCAAGCCGATTACTACTGTACACATGTGAATTTCCTTTAGCTCTGCCCTTAGTTCCTTGGGGTGGGGAGCTGATAGGACACCTAGTACCAACAGCTTAAAAGAGGAAAAAACTTTCTGTATTTAAGCTGAAGTTTTAACAAAGGATCAATTTCTCAAGTTCCATTTGTGAAATGCCTTCTCTGAAACCTATGTAGATTTTCATATTTGGGGTAAGAGGAGAGAAAGTGCATTCCTATTTTGGAAGATTTGGGTATTTGGGCCAGATTAAACCACTACTCCTAGTACTAGCACCAGTAGCAGCAAGAACACCAAGAAGGAGAAAAGGAAAAACCACCTTTGAACAACTGTAACATTTCAGGAGATGACATATCTGTGTAGCAGGAGGCCTGCTGCTTAGTACACACACTAATCTTAGGGAGGGAAGGGAATATCCACACGGCACTCTTAAAACAATTATAGGCAGAACAAGCTGAAGTCAGAACACACTAATACCCACTAACCCATTAATGCAAGCACACCAAAAAAAAATTTTTTTTTTTTCAGAAGGACAGATATTTCTGGTGCCTGTTCATCTCGGTAGATGTTAGCTAGATTCTCATATCATGCACCAGATTTCTTCCCTGACTTTCCTCCCTGTGGCTCCTGACAAATCTGCTGAGAGATTCCGACTTGTTAAGAGAGAGCAGTGTATAGGATATGCAGCTGGGAATGTGCAGGGTGCCTTAAAAATAGTTCTGAACAAGAAGTGGCCAAGCATGGGCCCTGGTCACATTTCAGATATAAATGAAACCAAGCCCGTGCCCAGAGGATCGAGTTTCTAGATCAGAAATCTCAAAGAGCTCTCTTCCCTAGCTCCTCCTTTGATCCCTTAATCAACGACACACATGAAGCATTTGGGACCCCTCATGCCACAGCTGTGAAATACCAGCCATGATAAAATGATGTGGGGTTTTGTGCCAAGTATGTGTACACATGTGTTGACCTCCTTCTACGGCTTTTGGATGAAGCAGTAACAAAACCGGCCAGAACAAGATGGAACTCACCAGAAAATGAAGTCCTGGGGATAGAGGTAGAAGAGAGTCCTGATATTTAGGGAGCATTGCTAATAGTGACTATAACAAAAAACATTCCTGTTTTGGCTTCGAGATAATGCAGGTAACTTCTTAAGTGTGGAGAGTGATCTATAAGCCACTTTCTCTGAAGAGGTCCAGGAAATTCGCATTGTAAATTGGTGTAGGACTCAACCACATGGGGAAAGCATGGGCGGTGGCATTCAGAACACTGCCAGGGAAGGTGGTTGTGACGTCAAGCTTGATACGTCTCCATGGCCTTGGGATCAAGTAAGGATGGTATTTGTTTCAATAGACTGCCTTATGTAGAGAGGTCAAGATGAATTTGTTTGATGTGCAGTCAGAATCTTAGGTAAGTGGGCAAAGGATGGCTTTTAGAATCAACCCTTTGGGAATATGGTGATGAAGGGAAGTATCTATTTTCTAGAGGAGGTCTATGTGTCATATGAACACTTGGCTCCAAATGTATGTGGTTGGATGCAGTTGTGTGGCCGTGGAATAATTCTGGACTGAAACTTTGACTGTAGCATGTTTGTATTTTGTTTTTTGTAACACTGGAGTGACTGCATCCCAGCTAGGAACACTTACTTGTCTGAGGGGTTTTAAGACTCCATTAGCAAAAACGGACAGTAAGGTAAAATGTGTAGCAGATGAAGAGGATCGTACAGTTTCTGTTGTTGACCCATCTCCGTGGATGACAGAGAGCCACTGGAGGTAAATCAGATGCCCCAGATGAACAACTTCGTAGGACTTCAAGGGTCCTTTTCTGTGACCCTTCAAAGACATGGTTCCAACAGAGGGACACATTTTTTAATCAAACAATGCTGAGGTATGAGGCTCATATATTTGTTTAAAATAAATCAGCTTGTGTACATTATTTATTAAGATTAAAACCAAACTAACTCCTTTGGTTTCATATATAGAAACTAAATTAACAGATCTCGGGTTTTCTTGAAAGATAGGCTTGATTAGGACGCCTTTTTCAACATCTCTGCATAGGGAGCCTCGGGTTAGTATCGTATGTATCCAAATATGGAGGATTTTTATATCTTAAATGTATGGACTAATGAGTAACTGAAAAAAGTAAAGCTGGGAAGAGAGTAGCCTGGGTCATCTAAAGACACTCCTGTGCAAAATACCTAAGCTGCCAGAAGAGACACCCCAGGAGGGCAGGGATTTGGGGCAGCTTTATGTACTCGTAAATCCCCAGTACAGTGCCAAGCACTATAGGTGCTCGGTAAGTACTTGTTGAATAAAGTGCTGCACAAAATAGAAAATGTCTTTTTAAATATGTAGCTGAATTCCCCCCAAAATTTAGGAAAATCTTCAGGGGTTGGAATTGATTTCAGAAGGGAACATCAGAGCAGCAGTGTCTGTGGCTTTTAGGTAAGCAGATTAGGGGGAGAGTTGCCAGAATTGGGAACCCAGAGCCTTGGGCTTTAATGGCTGCATGGGCAGAGGACACAGAGCCTTGGGCCCAACACAGGCAGAGAGAGCAATGACCCAGGGCCCCCAAGGGCTGCACTCTGTGTAAGCCTCAACTGGAGAGACATCTGCCTGCTGGTAGAGGGAAGCTTGTCTACCAGCATGAAGTCTCCCCCACATAACCATACTGGCAGCCAGCCTCACCAGGATCAGGCTTTGAACTGATGTCACTGGTGGCCTGGGGGTCCCCAAGGAAAGGAGAGTTGATGTTCTGTCGCTGGCTTCTGCAAACACAAACCCCACCTGGAGGCACATCCTCTACCCAGGTTACGTACAGGATCACAGCTAACTCCCCAATGAAGATGAGCTCACAATGCAAAACTGCAAACATACAAGCCAAAAATATGCACCTGGATCAAGAGTCAGCTGATGGCCGACGGCAGGGTTCCACTCCAAGACAGGCCTTCAGATTCTAGAATATCAGATAGATATTCAAGATACAAAGTAGGTGTGTTCACAACTATGAAAGGCAGGCAAACAGGAGAAAAGATTAAATCATTACTGTAAAAGACCACACATATTAAAAAAACAATAAAGTAGTTCTCTTAAAAAGAAATTAGTCATTGGCGTAAATTTAATGTGGAGAGAAATCGCTCTTTTCAGAACCGGAAGCCTGGCCTAGTAGATATAAAAGTCTATAGTAATCATATCTAGTAACGAGCAACTCAAAGAGGCATGAACATCCTCAGTAGTTCTTGATTTCTTGAAAGAAGGATGAGCTTAAATCTCTAGCTTTCAAAAATGTTACCCAAAAGTTGGCGGATCCCCAGCGTCTCTGATTTTCTGTCTCTATCCTTTTTCCTGTAAGCTCTCGGTCATCCCTTATGCTAAAGGAAGAGATCTGCTCCCCCCCGCCCTGCATTTCCTGTTCTTGGGGCATGAATTTCAGTCCTGACAACCCAGGTCACATCCAGTTAGGACGAGCGAACAGTGTCCTCTGTGAGAAAGAACAGATTAGTTCATCAGAATGAACCAGTAGGATGACACCTATTTTAATTGCAACAATCCACTCTAGTTCCCAGATTTATGAACCCGTCTTCAAGTAGCATAAACAAGTGGGTAAAACGTCATGTTTCGATTTTAACGATGCCTGAGATTTTTAAATATAACCATTTCCCTTTCTTAAAAAATACACTTTACTTAAAACATAATAGCCCCTAGTTCTCGATCATTGCCATTTGGACATAAAAGCACAAAAGACAGGCTTTTGCCAATAGGTAGACTTTACCAGTAAAGGGCATAAAAAAGTATTCCTTTAGCTATTTTTAACCTAAAATGTAATAAAGCAGATCTTTGTGCAGTTCTTCTTAGGCAGCGTATGCAATTCAAAGGATGTTTCTGGTCCCTGAAGGCACCTCACCCTGCTTATCCCTAGTGCCCAGGGTAGGAGTGCCCAGAGGAAACAAAGGCACCCTCCTTGGCGCAGGAAAATCTCCACTAAGCCTATGAGCAAATGGATGCTGCAACCTGGAATGAACTGGGGCGGTGAATCTCAGAGACCAACTCGTGTGAGCTGGCCATGTCACCTCTGGCGCACCCTGGCTCCCTGCTTTCAGCCTGGGTGGTGGGGAACGTGGTGGTCCAAGTTCGAGTGACAGATACCACTACGCACCTGTCTCCCAGGTGGTTGTTGAGGGTGGCCAGGGTTGCTCACCACAGACCACCCCGGAGGCCCAGGCAGGACCTCAGGGGAATTGCCACAGGACTCACTCCACTGCTGCAGCGCCCGTCCGTGCTGTGTTGCTCCGTGTGTGTCCCTGGCTTTTGCAGATGTCTGTCCTGCGTCTTCCACTAAACCCCTTCCTTTATCCCACCGATCAGCTCAGGGCCCCCTGTTTTACCTGAACAGAGTGTACCGCTAGAGGAGCTGCAGGGTCAGCTTGCACAGGCGACCAGACTGCATCAAGAGGAGACAGAGAAATTTACAAACACGATTCGGAAGGTAAATATGTAACCCGATTTCAGCACAACCAGGACTCTGACCGCGGAGCCCCCTGGAGACAGATGACAGGATGTATTTGAAAGAGAGCTGTCTGTCCCACTCAGCCTCCTGGACTCCTAGGGAATCGTCTAGTTGAGCTGCCCCTCGGACATCTCATAAAGAGAGCTGTCCATCTTTCTCCTCTAAAACATGCTTTTCACTCTTTACATTGTGGTCTCGGGAAGTTCTTCCTAACGTCTAACCTACATTTTCCTGCAGCCGTAGCCAGCAAAGGAAAATCAAAGAGGGGCCTTCACGCACCTGGACAGGAAAGTGTGTCCATAGCTTTTGTTGTGCCACGGATTTGTAAGCTTTCTCAATGTTAGGTAAATTTTTTGATAGGAAATATCAACAATTCACCCTAAACGGTTGTCTTCAGAAAACTGCCACTAATTGAGCTGCGGCCTTATTAACTCTTCCAGCTTATCTTAGAATAACCTGTTACTGGCTAATTACCCATTATCTGTTAAATCCTTTCCCAGAGTTGCTAGGAGAAGGGATTCACAGACATGGGCACTCATTTCCTAAATAATTTAACCTTTCTTTTTCTTCTGCACCAAAAATCATGTTTGAGAAGGGAGTTTATCCCTGGAGATGCTAATAGCAAAATAGCAGGGTCCCAGGTGTGTCTAGTACTTGGATTCAGGATAAAGGAGTGTGTTGAAGACGAGGCTTTAGACCTTGTTTGGGGGGGGTAAGAGAGCATCCAGGCTTGTTCAGAGGGAACAAGGGTCGGTGTTCCCTAACATTCCCTAACATTCCCATCAGAGGGAAGAGGACCAACTCTGGGCCTTGGGATGTGCTTGGAGACATGGAACAGAAAGAAGGAGGCAACCAGGGCAGTGGGGAGGTCAGAGCCGGTCAGGAAGGAGCATTTCCAGGAGGCTTCAGATGAGAGGACAAGAGAGCATCCCCTCCCAGCACGGTGCCTCCACCGACTGAGACTAGCGTCTCTGGCATACCTGCCCTGAGCTAGGCGCTCTGCACATCTTGAGTTAGCTTCCTTTTGCTGCCGAGGAAGCTGGAGCCTTCCCCGTCAATCGGTGGCTGACATACTACTGCAAGTAAATTGCAAACGCTGGATTTCCAGTATGGTAGGCTGCCCCCCTCCTCGCTCGTCCTGCTTTTGTGCCAACAGGGAAGAGAACACGCGGGACTCTGAGGGCTGCCGACAAAGTGAATTAAATCCCCACTATTTTGTGTCCTCTCAGCTCGAAGTGCAAAAAAGATCTGGTATTATGACGGTGGCCGCACAAGTCTCTGTGCAGACCCGGGATCCTCCCAGAGCTGCCTCTTACTCCTCACTAGCGCTAGCACAGGACATATTGGTGTCAGCCGCGGGCAGCCATAGTCACATCCGCATGGTTTCTGAGCACTGATCTAGTACTTTAGGAAAATAAGACAAAACAAAACTCAGTGCCTTGGTGTTTGGCCAAGAGGGAGTGTTAAATCGGGAGAGGACAGCTGATAACTACAAGGCTGGCATTCGAACCCCCCCCCTTTTTTTTTTTTGGTCTGTGGAACAGAAAGCTTTCATTTAGCTACTATTGATATTATTCTTGTGCCCTTATCCGTGCAATGAGATTTTATTCACACCACTTGGCTTAGTCATTATCGACATAATCATTGTTTATTGCTTGGAAGGGTGCCTGTACCCATGTTGAAAAGCAGGAACTTAGCATAGAAATGGAAAACACTTCTTTTTCAGTAATGCTTTATTTCCCTAAGAGTTACTCGTGGCCAATAGGAATGGGGAGTCCTAAGTATGGAAGTAGGTTCTCAGCTTACTTTCCTGTTTGCCCCCCACCATATGCAGCAGAGGACCTTGCGTCAGGGAGAATCCCTGCTCCGCCACCCCCACCCACCCAACCACCTCGCTCTCCCGCTCTCTGTGGGCCTCTCCATCAGCTTGCTGTCTCTTCTTTCTCCTGAGGGTTGTGCACACCAGAAGGCTCAGGAAGCCCAGGGGAAGGGTTACCACTTAACCGCCCCCCCTCCCGCCCCTGACAATTGCAGTGTGCCTTTTGCAAGCCCACAGAGGGCAAGGGGAATCTGCACGGGAGCCAGCTGCAAGGCGTCCATCTGAGAAACAATTTTCCTGAAGAAGTTTAGAGACCTCCAAAAACACCAAGAGAGACTTGACAATGAGAATTGACGATAACATCTTGGTTTGAAATAGTGTTTACTTCGGAGTCAGAAAACCCTTGAGGTTTTCTAAATAGTACGCATCTCAAGGAGTTTCCTGAACTCTGGGGGCTTCTGTGTTTCCCGTGCCAAGTGCAACGTGATCAAGATTGAATGACATTTTGCCAGGACTTGGTTTGGTTTGGGTGGCAAATTGGAATAGCTGCTGTCACACTCTTGTCTCTCTCTCCATTCAAGATGGAGGAGGAGCACCTCTATGCCTTGAGATGGAAAGAACTAGAAATGCACAGCCTGGCTTTGCAGAACACCCTCCATGAGCGAACCTGGAGCGACGAGAGGAATCTGATGCAGCAGGAGCTCCGGTCCTTGAAGCAGAACATTTTCCTTTTCTACGTCAAACTCAGGTGGCTGCTAAAGCACTGGCGGCAGGGGAAGCCGATGGAGGAGGAAGGCGAGGATTTCACTGAGGTACCTCCCCCACCCCACCCTCCACAGAGAGTTCATTTTCTTTGTGTCTGTTTTGTTCTTGGCCCCCAGGCACTACTGTCCCTCTGCGCCCTGCACACAAAGTCACATTCTGTTATTTCAGATGGTTTTTATCGAGCCCGATCCAGGCATGGGAAATGCAACAGGCTGTCCAGTTCTGTATTAGACCAAGAATTCTGTGCTGTCCCGTGGCCTTGTTTTCAGTCCTTGTCTCTGACTCCCCTCTGTGCCAAAGCTGTGCGGCCGTTTCTTCCACTGCTGCCCTCTGAATTCATGCACGTTGTCACCCTGAGGTCCTGTGCGTCTCTCGTCCTGCCTTGCTGGTTTGTCAGACCTAGCTCTGAACCTTTCTCTCTCCTTTCCATTTCAGTTTTTGGTGCTAGATGCTAGTGCCCGTTCTGCCCCTGCAGTTTGATAAGGCTCCCTGCTAGGCTCCAGACGGGTCAGGGTTTTGCCACCTCTGAAGTGTGCGTATGCTTCTCCCTTATGCCTCCATTCCCAGATTCATCACAGAACCAGAGCAGAGTCATCTGCTTTCTGATTGGTTCTGATTGATTCAGTCCAGCTCTGCAGGCTCCTTCAGGCCTTGCCTTCTGGCCACTGCTGCTGGGTGCGTGCTGGGCATCCACACACCCGGCTCCTTTGTCAGCTGCTTCAGGGCATCATAAATGTAGGTTTCCTTTTAGCTCCCAGAGACTTCTCATCTGCTTTTCACTGTATGTAATTTTAAGTCATCCTCTGAAGGGGAAGATACTCTTTCTTCAGGGAGGAAAGAAAGTCTTCCGAAATTAATTCAACCTGCTTCCAAATAGCCTTCACATAGAAAACCATCGTTAAGCAAAGCCTAGAAGTGGTTTTAAAGTTTCCTTCTCCTCTAGCTTATAAAACCATAACCATAATCAATAATAATTTATAAATCATAAAATTTTTCATTATCAAAATGATTTAAAAACAGTAAAATTTCTAATCTTTTCTGACCAATTGGGTACCCACGGTGTGGTGTTTAAATGAAGAAGGTGGCCAGTGAGTGAAATGGGCTAAATGAGGATAATTCGGGAAAGGGCTGAGAAGTCAAGACTTGATAAGCCATAAAGGGGAGAATTACCCTCCAACAATAAAAACCAGGTTGCACAGCAAAGGATTTGGGTGGAGTTGTGATCATTGTCTCTTGCTGTTTTCAGAGGGAGCATCCAGAGACCCTCCCCAGGCTGGGTGAGCTTGGAGTTCAGGGGGACCCGAAGGGGGACGGCCCAGACCGAGATGACAATGGTCCAGGCTGTGGCTTTTCAATGGGAGAGCATTCTCCACACTCCCCTGTGCAGATTGGTGACCACGGATCGAGGCTGCAGCCTGTGCACGGGGGACAGCTCCACAAGCAGGTGGGTGCCAAGGTCCCAGCCCCCCATTCTACCCACATCTAAGGGAGGATAGTCCTAGTCTATATCTGTGTCATCTTATTTTATATGCTGGTGTTCCCAGGGATCAGAAAACTCTGACTGCCTATGGTTGCCTGTCACTGTGTTTGTGCTAGAAATCCTATCATTAAGACTTTATTTCATTGTCAGCCTATTGGTTCATTTGGCTTCCACGTATAAATAAGGGGCATAGTATCAGATCAATGGGAGGGGCCAGCAAACGTACCTGAGAAGGGGGGGTGGAATGTAGAGTGGTGTGTGGAGGAATCTGTGGCTTTAGAAAGGTTGACCATTCTTCCACGAAAGAGACATTACCGAGTGCAGTGCCCTCCTCATGGCCAGAGAAAGAAGGGACAGGGCTTTTTTGTTGACAGTTAGCTGAATGGGCATCGGCAACATCACAAACCTGGCAACATAATGCGTAAGGAGGGAAGAAAACGTATTTTTTTAAAATCCTAAACATGTATGAAGTGTTTTAGGTTCTTTTTGGGCCACTTGAAATAAAAATATTTGATGACACTTAAAAAAATTAAAAGCATATATGGAGATGGGATTTCAGTGTGTAATATGAAATAATTATTAATGTAGCCAAATGCCACATTTATTAATTATTAAGCAGGCAGCCCCTGCTTAATAAAGCAAAAGATACTATTGATTCCACCCAGATTTTTTGCTCTTCTCTACAGAACAGCAGCTGTGGTGGGTTTGGAGTGCTGAGACCCTAGGAGGTACCCAGTGTTAAAGCTTTCTTGCTCCCAGACTTCCTGGTCTGAGGCTTATCCAATCCTAAGTTGCTTCTTTGAGGGTTCTACAGGGCAGAGCCCAGGGCCCCAAGCCCTAGACCCTTGGCTCTGGGGTGAGGGGCAGGACCAGGGGGACTCGAAGTGCACAGTGACCCCGGGTGGAGCTGTGGCCCCCCGACCGCAGGCATTTCTGGGTACTCCCTGTGTGCTGGACTCCACAGCTGCAGCTCCTCCCTCGGCCCAGAGCCGCAAAGGGTCGAGTGGGAGAGGGCTGTCATCAGATCTTTGGCTCGGATCCAAATGAGAAAAGTCCTGATGTCTGAGCCCGGGCCTAGGGGATGTGTGTCTCCCCCCCCGCCACCCCGTCTGCTTTCTCTTCATAGACAAATCAGATTTTCACAACTAAAGAGCTGTTTTCTCTGCATGTCCATCTGCCCTTCATTTCCCCTGAAATATGGCTCAAGAACGATGTTATACTTTCAAATGAATGTTTAATTACACTTCTTAGGAAGTTTGTCATTATGCCAGTGTCCCTGGGGAGATTTTAGCACATGGAATGAGTTTTCCAGCAGTTGATCTAGTTAGAAAATAAAATGCTACTTTGCAAATAATCCTCGAAAACCTACCACTTTTATTATTTTTCAGAGATGTCAGTTCGTTCTATAAAGTATCTGTGATTAACTCAGATAGCATCTGCTGACTGCCACTTAGCCCTAAACCTGTTGTATCTCAGGTCACGTGCTGGGTGTTTCCCACCCATGCGTCCAGATACTTAGCAAAAGGGGAAAAATGTAACACATCTGGTTTTCTAAACAGTTCTCATGGAAAATGTTACCCTGGGGGTGGAAAATAATGTAAAGTCACTCAGCTGGAACCTCACACTCAGTGTATTTTAACATCATCTCTCTTTGCCTCCTCCTTCCAAAGCTGATGTTTCCACTAGTCCCCTTGGAAGTGAAGGTGGCAGCCATGAGTTTCCACTTTGTACGGGGTGTGGTAGGGGCACCCGGGGAGCCTGCAGGACAGGGTGCCGACAGGCAGAATCCGGGCCGTCTTTCATGGCCCCGTCTGTCTGTAGGAGTTTAGTGCACAGTGCTGCCCATCCAAGGACAGAAGATTAATGTGATCTACTGTATGACACCTGGGTGCCTGGGAGTGAACATTCTCAGCTAGCAGATTTGCCTGCCCTCTTGTGGCGTGGGTATTAGCTAGGCAGTCTGCCCACAAGAGCAGGAACACGTATCCCAGAGGGCCGCACCCTTTTCAACAACTCTGAGAACCTGCCAAGGTGATAAGCAGAATGGGCAATGTGGCCTACCTCCTGTCCCAGGGCTAAATTCGCCAGTGACACAATTTCCCAGGCCTTGGTCTCTTCGCTTTGTGTCATAGTGAACATTCTCACAGTTGAACACAGTAGATGGCAAAATGTATCATTGTCCGAAGAGGTAAAAAAAAAAAAAGTGTATGTGTATCAAGTCAACCTTGAGAATAGTTCATAAAAAGTTATCAGGTTGGAAAATGTTCGGCTGTGTGAATGGTCCCCGTTGACTGATTTTTAGTTCCAGGACTAGTGATCTAGTGGCAGTGACCCGGTTGTCCTCGAGAACAGAAAGCACTTTCCGTTTGCCTGGCCTTCTGGAAGAACTGGAAAATATGCAAGAGCTTATTGTATCGCTCTCACTGAGCTCCAGCACGTTGGCCACAACATTACGCTTTTGAGACCTAAGGCTACCCCCCTGCATTTTATGCTTACTGGTAGTTCCCAAAATCAAGATTTTTAATGCAAGGTGACTAATAGTGCCAGCATTATGGCCCTGTGGTTCCACTAGCTAATTGTCTGTGAATTGGATTAATTTATTCGAAGAGAAGTTACTTTTTCATCCAGGGATGGGACATAATACTCTTTATTAAAGCATCTAAGTGTAAGGGTATAGAACCTAATTTGGGGCGCCTGGGTGGCTCAGTCATTAAGTGTCTGCCTTCAGCTCGGGGCATGATCCCAGGGCCCTGGGATCGAGCCCCGCATCAGGCTCCCTGCTCAGCGGGAAGCCTGCTTCTCCCTCTCCCGCTCCCCCTGCTTGTGTTCCCTCTCTCACTGTATCTCTGTCAAATAAATAAAATCTTTAAAAATAAATAAATAAATAAATAAAATTCAGAGCAAAAGCTAATGAAATTATGTTTCATGTTAGTCTTCAACTACAGCTGGTCACTTAGGAGTCTCCCTCGGGACCCAGTTTTGGGACCGAGTAGAATCTATTCCCCTAGACCTTTGTCACTCACTTGTCCAGGGCTCGTCTGCAGCTTAAGGGCCTTCAGAAGCCACCCTCAGTAGCAGTCAGCCTCTCTCCTGTAGAGAGAGTGCCTTTGGCTCCCTGGGCCTCCTAGACATCGACTCACCTTGGTGCCCACCTTTCTGCTTTGCCCAAGATGGGGAAACTTCCAGAAAGAGCACCTCTGCCAGACAAGGCCTTGTATGTCAGAAACTGGGATCTGCTCTTTTTTCTTTTTTTTTTTTTTTTTTGTAAAATAAGGAAGCTCTCCTTTTGAGCCTGGATCACTTTTACCTTCTATTTTGTATGTATGGTGATTCATTTTTCAGATTCTGCAACTTTATAACCTCACCTAGGAGACATGCAACTATAGAAGGAACCAGACCAGAGCTTATGATTATGAAACATTTGATATTGGCTGTGTTTTTGTTCATCCCTGTTACGGGCCTGGGAGTGAAGAAGCACAAGTGCTAGAGGACACTCAGTAAAGGACTCCTCCGGCCCCCGCCCCCTCCCAGAGTCTGCCACGGTCAGCAGTAAACCCTAAACCTCTGCTCGTAAGGGATTTCTTCCCATCTGGCCACTTGATTTTCATCACACCTGCCCTGGTTTCCTTGAAGCCTTCGGCTGATAACCCGCATTATAACTTACTAAATATATGTCCAGCACTTCTTTCACAAGCCCACATTTATGCTTGGGAAGCTCTCTGAAAATTACAGTGACCTGCCCCGAGAAGCCCTCACGGCGTGCATCACCTGGCATGTTCTCAGCCAAAGGACAGATGATTTTTGTACATAAATGAATCTGTCATCTCTCTAACCCTCCACCAGGGATTTTCATGGCCAGTCTTCAGTGACTCATTCTCTTTTATCTGTGGGAGGATAGTAGTTTTAGAAAAGAATCTTAAAATTAATCTGAATGGAACAATGAAAGTAAGAATGACAGATGGCTTATTTATTAAAATGTTGCCGGATGTGTAAATGTATCCTTTTAGTCTGATCTCACAGTAAAGGACTTGTCTTGGGACTCTTGCTGGTAGAGGAGTTACTTTATTGAATAGGATGTGAGGGCCCCCTCTTTATAAGTATGACATAGGAACTCTGCCTGTGTTGGGGGTGGGGGGCAGCTACCATAGCGTTCTGGAACTCCCTGCCTACGTCTGCTAGCCTAGATGAATAGGAAGGAGAGACCATCTGGCTTTCTGTGGGTCAGCCCATAGCAGCCCATCTCATTTGGAGATGATTAAACTCATCTCCAAAATTAATGGCTCTGAGACAAGCAAAGTGGCTGATGGTAGTTTAGCCCCTTCACAGAATTATGAAACACATTATCTTAAGAAATCTTAGGCAAGAATGATTTTATCAAATAGCTGGCATTGCATCACAAATACCTTGGTGTGTTCTCTTTCCCAGAAACTTCCTTTTTTACTTTCTACTAGGAATATTTATTGTATATTTGGGTAGCAGTCTTACTGGCTGAAGCCCAACCTTGAACTTCTTATGAAGTTTACCACTTTATAGCACAGTCAAGCTCCTGATCCCAATTTTGGGATTACTGTAAGCCTTGCCCAAGAGAGATGAACATGGAAGAGCTGAAAAGGAAGTGGTGGGGCCATTTTATCCTGCCTCTTTGCAAGAAAACCAACCAGCTGATCTTGGAGAGGTTGAAAAAATTGGTCTTTTTGATTGAAATCGACCTATACTTAACATCTATAAACTAAAAGGTTGCATAATTGGGCCCCTGGCACAGAAGTTTCAGAAAGTTCTGTAGCCAAGAAGACTTTCACCCAAAGACCTCTAAATGGCCCAGAGAATCTTGATTCCATTCTTAATTAGGGTCCTCTTTTTACCCCAAACATTGCCCAGCAAGGGCCCCCACAGGGAGGAAACGTAAGACAAGTAACTTTTTAGGCATTCTTTTAGGATGGCTCACTAGTATTATTTCCGTTGATCTGGGGGATGGAATTTGTTTCCAGAGATGAGGTGGCTTCTCTTAGGCAAAATTTAAAACAAACAAACAAACAAACCTGGGTAGGGGATAATGTCAAATTTAGATATGTTGGCTGGGTTTGTCCAGCCTTGGGTGGGACAGACCCAGAGTGCAGTCCGTGCTCTGCACTTCCTAGCAGGGAGAGCCTGCTCCAGTTCCTCCTCTGTCACAGGGCAGGGCCTGATGGTATGCACCCAGGATTGATGTGAGATGCCAATGAGACCCTGCAGGTGGGCGATCGGCACACCTGACCTAGCACGCCCTCTGTCAGAGACAATTTGTATTACTTTTCATTACTGGGTTTTTTGTACCTGAAGAAGTTTAGAAACATCCTGCCCATGTGGGTCTTCAGAAGTTTTTATTTGGACATCAGTTCTCGGTGTTGTACACCAGTGGCAGAGAGCTAGGCTGACTTCTTGCCATGTCACATGCTGCTCCTGGGTGATTATCATAACAAGTACCAATAACATCCCTTCCGTAGACTCTCTTGCTCCCTTTGGTCACCTTCATGCCAGAGCAATTTTTGAACTCATTCCATGATGATCAATATTATACTTGTATAATAGCACATTATGATGATTACGCTGACCCAAATGTGCATGAAAACGTTAAGGCTTAATTTTATTTAATCTGATATTTGCTAATGCCAGAAAGTACTTATTTCTAGAGGAACCAAAATTTCAGTCTGCAAAAGGACTGTTCTGTGAATTCCTGCTTCCGAGGACCACAAATTCTGGTCCTAATGTTATCAGAGCCAATTTCTGTGGGGTTAAGAACCCCACAGGCTGACAATATTCACAAAGTGGGGTTTATAGGGAAGTATCGATTATATACAAGAATTGATTACATGGTTTTCTGCTTTTTCTTCAGTGAGAATTTGATGACTGCTCAGAGACTAGATCAAAATCAGTCCCATGACTTTATGCTTAAAATACTTTGACTTAAAAAGTAGTGATTTTTAAGTTTAAAATCCAAAGATGAAAATAGCATATGAATCTATTATAAAATGTAGTTTTTTTCAAATAAATTCTGTACTCAAAAGATGTATATTTCTGAAAAGATTATTGCGATACTTCTCACTCACCTGCACTTATATAATTTTTAAATACTTTTGGTGTAGAGTTGAAAGAAAGTGTTCTGCATTTATTACAGTTGTACATATATCCTGAGCACCTCTTTGAGTGTAGTGGTAATTTACTTATATTTTTGGTTGGAAGGGACATGTAGCATTTTTAGAAGGCTCTCTAGCTGCTGAATCTTTCAAACGTTAACTGGATTGTACTCTTACTGGCTTTAGTCTCAGAGCTATTAAAGTAAAAATTGGTGGTCAAGGGGAGAAAAACCAAAGAGCTATAAATGTTAACAAATAGGCCTTTCTACCCCATCGAAAGTCTACTGCATCTAATATTAGAACTCCAGACAATTTACAGGGAGAACTGGGGAGTTTTCGATAATAAATCTGCTCATACTGAGGAGTTTCTCTTTTCTAATTCAATTTTATTTAAATCCAACCATATAGATAGCCAAAGTATCTTAAATTCTTCCCAAATGTGGCTGTCCATTTTCATCTCTGCGCATGTGTGTTTAGGGGATTAACGAGATGGTTTTAAGAGCATGACAGACTCTCCACGTGGTAGAGGAGAGCTGGGGGCACTGTCCTGCTGCCCTTGGCCTGAGAGGCTTATCAAGCAGGGGGCAGTCTCTCTGAGAGTAAGGGGCTCTGTGTCCCCAAAGTCGAGACAGTCTGACTCCAGCAGGACTGAGAGAGCTTTGATTCTACCGGCCTCGTAAATGCACCAAACAAGATGGCCCTGAGACCAGTCTGGAAGCTCGTGATGCACTTTTAAAGTTTTCTGTTGGAGCTCATGGTGCTTTTATTATCCAGGTATCATAAATGATTCAGTATTTAATTCACTTGGACAGGCCTTTCTGATATAATGCCCGTGCTGAAACGTACAAAGATAGCAGTCATGGTTTTGAAATGTGCTTTCAAAGAGCAGGATGAGTTTTAGAAAATAAAATATATTTTAGGTGTAAGCAGATTAGTGATAAAAATCCCTTTTTCATTTATCTGACCTGTTTGCATACTTTACACGAGCTGAGCATTGTGTGGGCCACTGGAAACGTGGGAGCGGGTCGGGTTTGTCTGTGCCCCGTGCACCAGGGGGTGGTCAGGGAGGCGCAGGAGAACAAGTAGATGCTGGTTATTGCAGCTGAAAGGAGGGGCACAGTGATTCCGTCTCAGGGGACCATGAGGAGGCCCTCGTGAACAAGTTAAGCGTTTACGTTTGACTTGGATTAAAGCTCAAATGCCCTCTCCCCCCGTGGCCATGCTTATCCATCCAAGTCAGAGTATGACCACCCTATGTTTATAAGAGACACAGAGCCTTTATTTATTCTCTTCTGGTTCAATGGCTGGTACTAAAATGACAGCATAGATAGGTGAGTGTTTATATCTTGCCAGATCTGCATCTCCAACCATAGCTGCGGATGTCTGAAATCACACGGAGCTTCCTTGCAGCCCTGGCTTCCGGGCTCCCTGTGGCCTCCCGCAGCTTCCTCCCTTCTGCTTCTGGGCCCGGAACACCAGCCCTAAGCGCCAGTCCTGCTCCTGTTCCACCAGGCCCTTAGCTGTCTCAGCTCCGGGAGCCTGATGGCTGGCAGCGTAGGGACCCCCTGGCTCTGTCCCACTAACTGCAGACTTTCCACCTGTTCTGTACTGATTGCAATGGCACCTTGGACACAACGCAGCACCACCTTGACTCCAGGACCTAAAGAATCCCCTTACATGAGGGGGCAGAACCAACTCCATGCTCGCTCCCTCAGGTGGTGGAAAACCAGCAGCTGTTTGGGGCACTCAAGAGCCTGCTGGAGGACCTGCGCGCCGAGCTGCGGGAGGACGAGCATGCGCGGCGGCAGCTGCAGCAGCAGTATGCCAGTGACAAGGCTGCCTGGGACGTGGAGTGGGCCGCGCTCAAGTGCCGCCTGGAACAGGTACCTGCCCGTGGGCTCTCCGCCGCTCTAGCTCTGCGGGGCCTCTACCATCTGGGCCGGGTGTGGGGAAGGCACAGTTCCTCAGATCCACGGTGATCTTTGTCCAAAGAGCTAGGGCTCCAAGGGGAAAGCCCAGAACAGCTACCTGCTCTCTCTCTCCTTAAAATTCCCAGCCTCGGGGTACCTGGGTGGCTCAGCTGGCTAAGCATCTGACTCTTGATCTCAGCCCAGGTCTTGATCTCGGGGTCGTGAGTTCAAGCCCTGTGTTGGGCTTCATGTTGGGCGTGGAGCCTCCTTAAAAAAAAAAAAATTCCTAGCCTTCCCAAGGCACCTTCTTCTCCCTCCTAGTCCCTCTCCCAAGTATGAAACACAGTCTCCACTGAGCACCTTTTGACAGTAGCATTTGTTTTTCCATTCTGCGTTGAACAAGGCTGTATTTAGCCCCATCAGAGGATGGCCAGCGTGAAGTGGTGATCAGAACACACTGACATAGTTCAGACAGGCGCAAAGAAAGTCCAGATTGTGGCTTAGTTGTCTTTGGAAAAGGAGAGCACGTGCGTTCCTTTAGACCTCTCCCAGTACTGAAAAGAGCTCGTAGACCTTCCACGACGTGCCCTGGAGACCCTTAAAAGCAATATCACCTCCTTCCCTGAGTCCACTTGCTCAGATTGTTTCTCCAGGTTTCTTCCAACCCCTTGATCATGATGGGAGGAAAAGTCTTTGCATCTTGGATAATCTACTTTCTAAGCCCTATTTTGAGGCAAATCTTAAAGTAATTAAAATTTTATATGAATTGGCTAGGTCATGAAAGAAAAAAAAGTTGCCCAGAAAGGAGACATCTTCCAAATGGCTTTGATAAAAGATGAAAGAGCCTGTCATGTCAAAAGAAAACAACCCCCCTGGTACCCACAAGTTCAGCTGCATGGCCAGCTGGCCCGGGGGGCAGTGGATTCAGGCTCACAGCCCCCGGGAGAGCACAGACACTGCCTTTTCCACAGAGGAAGCAGCAAAGCAGAGCAAAACCAAAGCATCAGGCCGGGCTGGTAGAGCCGCTGACCCAGTTCTGAATCCTGCCTACTTGCCTGGTAGGAGATTCTTACGAGATGCCCTGTTTCTCTTAGTGCACAGCCTGCAGAGACAGCCATGGAGGCAAAATGAGTAAGATGCTCTCTGGTGAGCTGCCTTTAAAACTATTTTAAAATATGTTTATGGGGGAGAAAGCTAAATATTTTCAAAGATGTAAGTGTAGCTGAAGAAAGGAGGCCTAATCTTTGATATGAGCCAATTTCAAAATATTTCATCTTTGTTTTAGAGAAACCTGGTAGCCACCCACACACATGCTACACAGAAAGCCTCAGGGAGAATCACTAGACACAAAGAAATAAAATTAAGACTTCAGACTTAGAAGCCAGGTGGTAATGGGTAAAGATTCATCTTCCGCCCAAATCATTTTAAGAAGTTTCTGAAACAGTTGCAGCCCAGGAAGCAATGAATGTGGGCTAAAGCTAGTTTATTTATAATACTCCCATCTTTACTCTTCTTCTACTTAAAAGCAAGACAGGTGAATTCTACCAAAAGTTAAGTATTTTATCTCAGTGGAGGCCATGTTGTGTCCATGGTCAAATCTGTGATTCCTTCAGTTAACCCCCAAGTCAGGCCTTGTTCTAGATGCCAAGGATCCAGCAACAGAGAGGACATTTTTGAAGGGGCTCTCAGTGCACTGGGAGACCCAGACAAGGGCTGTAATTTATAATAGTGTGATAAGTGCCCCGCCAGGCCTATATACACAGTGCTGTCAGGAAATAGGGGTGTGCAGGCCATACACCTCAGCCTGAGGGTTCAGGGAGGGGTTGTTTGTGAAAGTCCTGCTTAGAACGAGTCTCAGAAGATGAATAGGAGTAAGTACATGGAAAAGGAGAGAAAGGATGTTTCAGACAAAAAAAGCATCATGAAAAAAAGGGGTAAGTGTATCTGAGGAGCTGCACTTGGTCGGGTATGAGGGAAAAGAAGAACGTGCGGACAAACAATGAGTCATGGAACACTACATCAAAAACTAATGATGTAATGTATGGTGATTAACATAACAATAAAAAATAAAAAAAATAAAGAAGAACCTGCAGAAGATTGAAACATTAATCCTGATTTTATCAGGGAAGTAAAGCATTTTGATTTACATTTGTAAAAGATTATCCTGGCTTCAAGAAGAGAATGGATTAGAAGTCATTGGAATTGAATGGAGTAACATGGTCCATGGGTAAAAATCCAGAGGTCTGCCTAACTAGAATAGGAAAAAATGCATCTTTATGTTCACTGCTCTTTCACTAAAATCGATCATGTTCTGCAGCAACAGTGTGCTCCCAGCTCCCTCCTCCCATCCTCTGTTCTTGTTGCCACGGCTTACTTCTATAAACACAATACAGTGCAACTGGCTTTGCTTTAGCCACTCAATAATACTTTAAAGCAATTAAAAATAGGGAAAAGTGAGCTTTATACTTCTATTTCTTATGTCATTTCCAGTGTTCATTTTTTGTGTAGATCACAGTGTCTTTTAGTATCCTAATCCTTCTGCCTGAAAACTTCCATCATTTCTTGAAGTACAGGTCTGCTGGCAATGATTTTTTTTTTAATTTGTTGAAAAAGCCTTTTTTCCCTTTACTTTTGAAAGCATAGATAGAAGTCTATCGAGGTGGACATTTTCCCTTCCTCAGCCCTTTAAGATGCCACTCCATCGTCCCTGACTTGCATAGTTTCAGAGGAGAGGTGTGCTGTCATTCATGTCTGTGTGTCCTGTGTCTGTCTGCCTCCGAGGTTTCCTGTTTGGTTTTCAGCAGTTTAACTATGATATGTCTAGATGGAAAATTTTTTGCTCATTTGTTTGTTTTGGTATTTAATCTCAGGGATGTTTAATGGATATTTATTGTAGACTGGTAGGTCCCACCGATGCTCCATCCCTCGTTTCCGTGTGGGGGCTGAGGATTTAGGGACAGACATGGACCTGCCCTCAAGGAACTCAATATAAGGGCAGGCAAGATATGGTGGTAACTGAGTCAGGAAGTGGAGCTGAGAAACAGACCGCAGGAAGCTAAGTGGACTCACTGCTTTACATTTTATGTGACTCTCTATGTCAAATGTTCATAATTAAGACTTTAAAAATGAGATTTGGTTTTTTTTCCATGGGATTGGTCAAATCTTGGCTTAAACATGTTTCCAGGGATAATATGCAAGTGTCCTGTGATTTTCTTCACCTGTTGATATAAGATTTGCCAGGGGTTAAGGTCTATGTCTTTCCTCCTTGCCAGCTGGAAGAGAAGACTGAGAAGAACTTGGGAGAAGTAGGCGCTTCCACTGACAGCAAAGGAGCATTCAAGAAGGAGAGGGAGACGCACCAGAAGCTCCTCGCCGACAGTCACGGCCTGGTCATGGACCTGCGCTGGCAGATCCATCACAGCGAGAAGAACTGGAACCGGGAGAAGGTGGAAATTCTCGACCGGCTGGACAGAGACCGGCAGGAGTGGGAACAGCAGAAGAAGGAGCTCTTGTGCAGAATAGAGCAGGTAAGGGAGCACCCTGGCACCAGCGAACAGGGAAGAGAATATGGACAACTAAACTGACCTGGAGATCAGAGCACATGGAAAAAAAAAAAAATATATATATATATCAGGCTAATGTTTCATGGGCTTCCTGAGGAAGAAGAAAAAAATCATAGAATTCTAGCATCGGAGACCCAGACTCAGCCCTTACATTACACAGATCTTTTCATTGCAGAGTCTGTAGGTAACTTCCTTGTGTGTGTATATATGTGTGGTATGTCTGTGGTCAGGGCTGGGCGGGAGAGGGGGGGTGCTAATATTCTGAAGGAATTTATTTATTTTTCTTTAATATTTTTTTAAAAATTTAATAATTTATTCATGAGAGTCAGAGAGAGAGAGAGGCAGAGGCAAAGGGAGAAGCAGGCTCCCTATGTGGGACTCGATCCCGGGACCCTGGGATCATGACCTGAGCCGAAGGCAGACACTTAACGACTGAGCCACCCAGGCGCCCCCTGAAGGAATTTAAAGACTAAACTTGAAACATGAGGTTTTTTCAGGTCTTATAAGGTGTGATTCCTGCCAAAAAGCAAACTACCTTTTAAGTTTGCCCCTAAAGATGTGGTCACAGTGGCTGCTCCAGCTTGAGTGGGATTGCTGCCCATTAGTAAAGAGGTTGCTCAGTTAAGTTGGAAATCAGGCTGTTTGCACCTGCTGTGGATGTTGCTGAGCTGTGATTAGGGAGGACTGTATCAGGGGAGGGAGCTGGTAGCTCATCCTCTTCAGCTAACAAACAATGCAAACGCCCAGATGAATTTAGAGGGAGAAGGGGAGTTGTTTTTCTACCTCCCAGAGAATCATTCTCTGCCTTGCGTCAGCTTAAGACAGTTTGCATAGTTGCGGTCATGCCTGAGTGATGCACAAATTAAATTTTCACATTAAACTGATAAAGTTTTGGAATTCTTCTCTGGCTGGATTTTTACATAGCATATATGGTTTTTGTTTGTTTTTTTTTTATTTCAGCCTGTCACACTTATAAATTTATGAGGCCTCAAGGTAATCTATTAATCAATAAGAAAATGAGTTCAGGAAAAATAACCTTATTACTCTACTACAAATACCCGTACTGCCTGCATTGATGTGGGAGCCTTTTGTGCTCTATCATCCCCAGATGTGATACCTGTGTTATGCTGGTGCAATGGCCAAAGTTAGTTTCTGCATGCTGTTGGGGAGGGAGAGAAGGTGAAGGAACTAAAAAAAAAGCCAGGAGCCCCTGGCTCAGAAACTGTTGAGTTGAGAAGGCACACTTCGGATAGAATGGTGCAGAAGTTCTTCCTAGATTTGATTACTCACACAACTGAGTCACACCATATTGATATTTGATGTGGTTCATTTCAGAATTCCCCAAAGTCAATCAAAAGAAAGGTGGCCACTTCCTGCTTGGCCTAGAAATGCATCATTTGAGAAGAATCTTCTATATTAGATCCCCTATGTGCCTGTGCTCTCCTGAACAGATCAGTGGTTAGGTGGAAATTGCAGGGGCAAAAATGGTCACAGATTTATCATATCCAGCTTTGGTTAACTGGTGTTTCAGAAACTCCAGGCACCTTGTTATCAGGGAGGTTCCTTCTTGGCCTTCCCTCCAAGAGCACTCACCCTGTCTCTCCTGTGGCACAGCAAGGCCATCACAGTCCCTGCCACAGCTCTTCTGGGTCCCCTTTGTCTGTTAGCTGTGGGCTCTTTGGTCTTGTCATAGCTCCTTTTTGGAAGTCACAGCTTGGATATAATTTAAGCAAGTCTTTTAGGGTTTCACTTTTGGGAATGAGGAATTCCTAGTAAAGGAAAAAGTATTAGGACATCTGATGATAGTCAACTTCTGAAGAGTTAATGACCAGGGGAGGAGCAGTCACCCCGTTTTAAGACTGTATTTTGAAGGGTAAAATTGGGCATGCGCTGAACCCCATTTCCAATTCAGGTCAGTCTTCCAAGTCAGGACTAGAGCGGTTCTACCGAGCCGACGGCCTCAGAACTTGAGTCCTCAAGGTTAACATCTCTGAGCATAATGGATTCGAGACTCGTGGGTTCCAGGCGTTCATCTGTTCCTGAAATCTGTGCGGTGAATCCCACAGGCTTTGCACAATGATCTCACTGCTGTTTTTAGGAGAAGATTTACTGCCAGTGAATGATGCTTCAGATATGCAGTTGTGGCTTTCAAAAATAAACCCAGCCTTTTCCCCCAAATAGTCAGCATTTTAAAAGAAGATTTTATAAATCTTGTGCCCAACCCCAAAAATTAGATGAAGCAGTTACAGTCATTCTCTGCAAAAGAGGAAATTAACCAAAGTGTGTGCGTGTGTGTGTGTGTGTGTGTGGATTTCATTTATCATTCGTTAATTTTTAGCTCCACATTCCATAGAAAAACAAGGAATACAGGTGAACATTCTTCATAATATATGCTCTTGATATTTAACTACTTGGTGAGCCATGTAACCTTGACTTTAATAACCTAATACAGTTGGTGAAGGAAGTAACACTAAATCCATTTTCCACTTTTAGAACACATGCTTCATACTTGTCCAGTGTCATTAAATTCCTACATAATTTCTGCGCCACATGAGGCATTTTATATGACAGATGACTGTGGGAATGTGGTTAAGGTCACATAACACATGCCATCTATCTTATGAGCATCCCTTGTCCCAGTCCAGATTTGATTGGGCGATAGTTAACTTTTATGGAGTCACACTACATTTCTCCGTAGAATTAAGTTCCCAGTTAGCATGCAGATGATATAGGACTCGCCGCTGTACTGAAGACCTAAAGGAAAGACCATGTGTCATTCCAGTCTCCTTCCAGTAATTTCCTTAAATCAGCTGCCTCTACAACCTGAAAGGCCATTCTTTTAAAACCCGATCACAAAGTGACCTTTTTTCTTTTGACCAGTTCAGGTAAGGTGACACTGTGGAGGGTTTATTGTTTCCTGTATTATTTGAAATGCAAGTCTTTTCAGTTTTCTACTTGCATTAAAAGTTGTTCTGCTGCAGGATTCAAAGTACAGTGGGTGCTGATGGCTGGTTTGAAATGACTCTCCTAAGAAACCCTATCCTTTTAAGGACCCATTATTCTATTACAACATCCCAGAGGCATCTTAGCACCAGATACCTCCAGCTAAACCCATTCCAGTTCACTTTTAGGAAACCTAACACTGACCAGCATTAGTGCGCATTGCTCCTGGCTGCCTGTGTTTATTTTTGAATACCCACTGTGCTGAGTTAGAATGTGCTCGTTCAAAGCCCTCCTACTTAGTCATTCTTTCCTCCTCTTCACACACACCCTCGGTGCACATTTACAGCTCCGAGTGTGATTCTTTCATTTTAATTCCTTGCCCAAAATAGCTTAGAGATGATCATGTGTTAGAACTAAATTGCGCTGACATGCATTAGATAAACATAATAAAAAGTTTTCCCTTTTTGTTGTTTTTTGTTTGTGTGTTAAAGAAAACATTTAGCATCTTTAAGGGAACTGGGAAGAACTGTGCCTTGGGGCAGAGGGGCAGGTAGAGATCAGAGGCGCTGAGCTGAAACCTGGAGTGATTGGCTTGTTCCTAATTCAACTGTGACCCTGCCTCAGATTCTAACATTTAAGCTCTGGCTGCTTGAATCTCCATCTTTCTCAGAAAATGAAGATAATCCACTGTCACAGAAATGACTAAAAATGAGTAAGAGTCCTTCATCTCCATTATTTTACGTGGCTTGGTTCCTGATGATGCGCAGGCCACAAACTTACCTCCAGCTCCTGGACTAAGGCTTCAACTGGGACACAGAGGTGTAGTTTGTGAAAGATGCTTGGTTAAAAAATAAATTAATGCTTCCAGGGGAGTTGTAGAACTTCCTGGCGCCATCTCAGCACTTGAGGACTGAACACCTTTCTTTGACAAATCCAAATGTCACTTTCACCCTTCAGATAACTTTCTTAGCCAAGAGGGCAGCCCCCGTGGTGGTTGAGTGTGTGAGCATGTCATCCAGTAAAGACCCCAGTGGAGATACGTAGGTGGAACTCTCCTCAGCCCTCCGCTGTGCTTTCTGTGCATGTTTCGAAAGGAATGCGGTGAGGAAAGCTCTGGAGAGTCCAGGGGGAAGTTTACAGCTTCTCCAGGGAGTGAGCATCCGCTCTGCACACCATTTCCCTGCCTGTCCCTGTGATTTCACATTGGTTCCCTTCCTAAGTGGCTCCACATGGTTCATTCTAGTGCCGTAAATCAGCGAGGCGTGTATCAGCGCACCCAGACCCCAGGGAGGTCAGTGCTGGTCTCACTGACAAACAGTGAGCCCTGCTGGGCTCGCCTTGCTGGTAGCCCCTGCACTCCTCCCCTCCACAGCGGGCAGCTGTGCGGTCCCCACTTAACAGATGAGGACACTGAGCTGGGGACCACTGGGGACTTCACTCCTGCCAGCAAACCAGCAAGCCACAGGACAGTGGGCCCAACTCAGACCTTCTTCACTCTAGGGGCGCCTGCGTGTTCCCCACTATTTCTTCCTGCATTTCCCAAGTCAGGCAAAAAAGGTATGGTTCTAAAGTATGTGGCTTTTCCTTTTTCAGTCAGTCCAGATCTTTCATTAACTTGATAACTAAGTTGTAATCCTCTCAAGCAAATTTCGAAGTTGTTTTTGACACCTAGTGGTTACAACCCAATTCGATCACTTGGGTTAATAGACGGGACCCGTGCCAAATGATTTGGAAATAATAGTGTTGGAATGAGGAATCTCTGCTAGTCAGGAAAATCAAATTCGCCCTCAGAAATTTGCTATCACTGATGGTTTTCCAGTGAGTGTGCCTTAAGTTCGGAAGGTATAAAAAAGAGTTCTAAATATGTCATTTAACAATGTTCAGTTTTTAAAAAATAAATGTATAATTTCCCATGAACAGTACTCCCAAGTTATATACAGTAATATATATATATATATATATATATATATATTCTCATCAGAAGGAGTTGGCTTGTGTGTGTGGTTAATGCACATTTTCCAGTCTGGATAAAATTGTGATTTTTTTTTATTTTAATAAAAACATCTGTAATGTTGTGTTACTTTTGAAATTAAGGTCAGAACTTGAAGAACATCTACTTCTCCCAGTCTTTCCTATGAACCCAAATGTAGTTCCAAATTGTGGAGAAGCAGCAGTCTTAGGGAGAGCAACTGACAGAAGAGTGAGACTAATGGTTTTCATTTTTTTAAAACCCTCAAGTTGCAGAAAGAAAACAGTCCCCGGAGAAGTGGCAGTTTCCCCTGTGATCAAAAGGAAGGCAACATCCGCCCCTTTGCCCACCCGGGAAGCCCCCGAATGCCCCGTCCCTTGGAGATGTGGCCCTGTGCAGACACCGACTCCACCCCGTTTGAAGACCGGCCGCTGTCCAAGCTGAAGGAATCGGACAGGTGTTCAGCACGGGAAAACCTCTACTTGGACGCCTTGTCTCTAGATGATGAACCAGAGGACCCTCCAGCCCGAGGGCCCCAGCGGGAGTTCAGGAACTGCCTCCCCCAGGTCAGCCTGGGATTTGGGGTCCAGTTAACTGCTGTAGGACCAAGGGGTTGTCAGGAGACCTGGCCACCTGGTCAAGTAGGCTCGGGCTTTGCAAATCACAGCCTCTGGGTTGAGTAAGCATGAAACCTTCACAGTGCTAAGAGCTTTGCTTGGTGGTCCGACCCCAAACCCCTAGCATGCACTACATTCGATTTCACTTGGCCAACGTGTCTCAGGTTTGGAGACACAGGACTGTGTCCTGTGTAAACAAAAGGTCTCACCCATGAGCGGGTCCAGTGGAACCCGCAGGAGGAGAGAATTCATTCTGGGACGTATAGGTCTGCAACCTGTCTTTAAATGACAGCAGCCTTCTGATTCTAAACAACTTACTGGTAACAAAAAAAATCTGTTCTAAAGCAAGTACCTCACATTGGGAAATAATAAGTATCACTAAACAATGACAGGCTATAAATTCTTATTCTGTGCAAAGGGGGGAAAATCCAACACTTTGAAGCCGTGTGTAAATTAGATCATCAGCAAAGCGGTGAGCTAAACTCTGGGCTGAGACTTCCACGGCACAATGTCAGGTTTTTCTGATTATGCCCTTTCTACAACTGGGTTTTAAAACCAGGTTGGATTTTAGGAATCATTACCTGTGAGTCAGTTTGACAGTTGCTGTACCTGGCACTTAACCTGTCTGAAGACAGACTTCGAAGAGTTCGTGTCAAGTAGTGTTGAAATGTAGGGCAGCTAGATTTCAGTGAGGTGTCTGTGAGGTCAAGTACCTTCTCAGCAGTATGTAGCCAGGTGGCATGACATCACCAGGATGGTGCCCTGTTTGACCCTTTGGCAACTCCCATGGTGCAGTTGCATAGCAGAGAGGAAGCAGCCCGGGGTCGGGAGCCCGTCCTGGTCCCAGTCCACTGTGATGGGGGGCCCGTACTGAGCGGCACAGAGCACAAGTCATTGTCAGTTCGCCTCTGATTCCACATGGCAGGGCTCACAACTGAGAAAGTGCTCAAGCCTAAGTCTGTTGCATCGCCTTCTACAGTGAGGCCGACACCAAGGGACATAGCTGCCCAGCTTCCTTTCTCGGGGGCCCCATCTTCCCTTTCCCCACCCCCTCCTCCTCCTCTTTCTCTGTCTCTGTCTCTCTCTCTCACACGCGCACACACATACACACACATTCAGATGTGTGGGTTCTGGTTTTATTATATTTCAAAGGGCTGAGGGACAGGAACATTCCCGACCAAAACTTGGCCTCGGTGTACATTTTAAATGGTATTTTCCTATGGCCGAAGAGCAAAACAAATCACTTAGCACGTTGAAAGTGCCTGGCAGCCTATTAACTGATTCAGACGATCTTATTTCTTCTTTATAGGAAGAAGAAAATCACAAGGGAAATCTTCAAAGGTAAGACTGATGAAAACAATAGTCGGCTACTGAAATGAAAGCCTCTTGGTCTTAAAATTCCATTTTATCGCCGCAGTCTGTGGTAACACTGTCTTGAGAATGACTTAAAGTAAGACTTCTGAATAAGTAGTTGCTTTATTATTATTGATTTCATAAATATGGCATTTTCTATTATTAGCAATGGAAAGGCCAGAGACACACTGGGCTCACGTGGGTGTTAGTATCATGGTGAGAACAGTTATAGTTGTGTATTGTGTGTATAAAGGAATGTTGTGTCCAGTGGTTGCTGGAAAGTCCACAGAAACCCCCCGCTTCTCGTTTAGTCTGGAAAGACTCCCTCTTGATGTGCTGTGAGACATTTTATATACTGTGCATTTAAAGCTCTGCCCGGAGGATTTATTAAAATATTTCCCAGCCCTAAACCTTGAAGTAAATACAAAGTAAGTGATGTTGGTGATGTTAGTTATCGTCTATTTTAGCTCATCTGTATGATAGGATATATCTGAAAAGACATATCTAAGCAAATTTGTTTAAGCACTAAAAATACACAACTGAGTGGAAAGATTTCCTGTACACAACCCCACCCCCACCCCCCACTCCCCACCCCTGACACATGCTTTTTCTTTATAGATGAACACATGCTATTTCCACCACAGGAAACTTCTCCTCAGGGCCGTCTGCTGTTTCCAGATCTCCTCATCTCTGGTTTCCCTATGAACTTCAAGTCCATAAATTACTATCTCCTTCCCATCTTGCCCTGTATTTGGTTCATCCAAAACCACCCAAAATGCCTGTGGTGCATTTCTGTCCTTCAGGCTCTGTCTTGTCTGGTCATTCTCGGACAGTCTAGGGCCGCGTTCGAGAACTAGAGCCCGGTTTCAAATGCACATCTTCCTCTCGCCAGCCATGTGCCCTGGGGTGAGTTGGGTAACCACCCTGTGCCTCGGTTTCCTCATCTGTAAACAGAAGGCATTTCAATTTCTTTACAGCTTAAATGTGTTTCTACACATGAAACAAAGCAATGCCTGACACAGAGTAAACAGTCAACAAAGTTTAGCTATCTTCACAGAGCTCTTCCCTGCATAGTAGCTCTTATTTTTTTATCTTTTTTTTAAAGTGTATTTATTTTTTGTAGTAATCTCTACACCCAACGTGGGGCTTGAACTCACCACCCCGAGATCAAGAGTCGTACACCCCACCGATGGAGCCAGCCAGGCGCCCCCCCTTTTTTACATTAATTGCTGCTATTAATTTCAAAAGTCATCCATACTAAGAAAAGTTAATCTTAAATTAACTTATATATCGGGGCACCTGGGTGGCTCAGTCGGTTAAGTGTCTGCCTTCGGCTCAGGTCATGATCCCAGGGTCCTGGGATGGAGTCCCGCATCGGGCTCCCTGCTCTGCATGAAGCCTGCTTCTCCCTCTCCCTCTGCCCCTCTGCCCACATGTGTTCTCTCTCTCTAGCTCTCTCAAATAAATGAATAACTTCTTTAAAAAAAACCTTACCTATCAAAATGTCCGAGGTAAAAAAGTACGTGTGTTGTCCCCACCATCCCCTTCTCCCTCTTGCTTCTGGCAGTTTCCTGTCTTCCCTCCGGACTTTCTTCTGTGCGCCCTCACGTGCTGGCACGTGTCCAATGTGTCCTGGTTTTGTATCTGTCTTGCTTTGGCCACTGCTAAGGCTGATGTGTTCCCTTTCTCTGCCCACATCACCTCTGTTCCATGAAATCGATCCAAGGGCTGGAGGCAGAAAGGCCCCACGCAGGTGCACTGGCTTACCTCTGAGGGTAGTTCCTCCGTGGGCAGAAACGGGGCTTAGATGAGCTGTGTCCAAGAAATGCAGAAAGGATTGGGGTTTCGGTACCTACAGAGCACTTCCAGCCCCCAGTGAACAGCCTTCTGAAGCTCATTTTTTCCTTTAAGATTTTATTTATTTGAGAGAGAGAGCGCGCATGCACGCACAAGTGGGGGCAGGGGCAGAGGGAGAGGGAGAGGGAGAAGCAGACTCCCCACTGAGCAGGGAGCCCGATGCGGGGCTCGATCCCAGGACCCTGAGATCATGATCTGAGCTGAAGGCAGCTGCTTAACCGACTGAGCCACCCAGGCACCTGAAGCTCATTCTTAATTCAGCAACTCCTTGACTTGGCCAGAGGCTAGAAGAGAAAAATCACACTTACCGGAAATTGACCCATCCCTTCGTTTTCTTTTTATTTTCAGTGCTGGTTGTAGCCAGCTTGCTGTTATTCACTGGGCCATGGGAGGGTTTGTAGATTATTTCTAACAAAAAAATACCACTAACTTTTGCCCCTAGTGAGAAATAACAAGATAGAAGACCTACTGGTATCATTTGTAGCCTGCTCCCTTTTACCAGGGTGGCAACCACAATGGCATATGTTCCCAGGGTGAGGGCAAAGGCACCCGGGGCTTTGCCTGTTCTGTGGGCCAATCCATGTGGCACACAGACCCCAATTCTGGCCTCACCATCATTAATGGTTTCTGCAGTGAAGTAGCCCAGGTACTCTCCATCTGGGACCCACTTGGCAGCACCTGTGCTGGTCTGAAGCCCTAGGTATTTGAACTTCTGTTTGGGGTGTGCAGATATGAGTATGTTCTATGAGAAAGTGGTCTAGTTACAGAGACAGTGAATCTGCGTATGCAACCCCCCTGCCCCAGCAGGAGGGATTTCTGGCCAGAGGGTCCAGGCCTGAGCCTCCTTCCTGGCCACCCCTGCTTTGCCCTGGGTGGGTTGACAAGCTGCCTGAGCGCTCCAGCAACCTCCTGTCTTAGCATTTTGGAATCCCCAACACCCCATACGGTGCCTGCCCTGGCCTATAGGAGGCAGTCAGGAAATTCATACCAAATAGAAATATATTGAATGAAAGCACATATATAGGGAGGAATCTACATCCAAATCCACATCCATCAGGCAGCACTTACCCAAACCTGCTGTTCCTTTAGCTCACGCATCTTCACCCTCCCATGTGTTTGTGTGTCTGCAGGCACCTTCCTCTTGTCCAGGAATACAGGGAGAACAAGAACACAAGACAGGCTGGGCTGTACAGGAGGGAGCAGGGGGAGGGAAGAACCGAGCCCTGGTGGTGGATTTCGACAGAGCCGGATGGAGTTTCCGTTTGAAGTCGTATTTGGAAATTACATGCCCACCTGTCACACCTTCCACCTCCCTTCTTTGCTCCACATCTTCCATTTGGCCTCTGGAGATGGCAGTCAGTACAGTTGGCCCCTGAACAACACGGATTGAACTACACGGGTCCACTTAGATGTGGACTTTTTCCAGTAAATACAGTAGAGTACTGTAAATGTATTTTCTCTTCCTTATGGTTTTCTTAATATTTTCTTTCTTTAGCTTATTTTATTACAAGAATACAGTGTTTAATACATACACAGAGTATGTGTTAATAGACTGTTTATCTTATCGATAGGGCTTCTGTTCAACAGTAAGCTACTAGTAGTTAAGTTTTGAGGGAGTCAAAAATTGTACATGGGTTTTCGACTGCACGGGGATCGGACCCCCTAACCCCTGTTGTCATTCAAGGGTCAACTGTACTTCACTGGAAATAGAGGTTGAGGCTGGCGGGAGAACGGTCGTCAGGTGATGGCTGCGATGTTGTGGTATCCAACCCCCTCCGCATATACCATTCGCCAGTTTAGGATCAGGCCGCGGCTGTGTTCTGTCAGTAATGCGAGCACCTACCGCAGTGCCTGGGACTCAGGAAACCCCTAGTAGGTTAGGAATCGGAGGCAGTCATCAGCCAGGTGTCCTTCTTGCTATGGAGCATCCACAGGCCAGAATGAAAGCATTCCAAAGTGGGTTTATATTTTATTTTATTATTTCATTTCATTTCATTTTTCATTTCATTTCATTTTTTAAGCCCCAGGTGATTCCAGTGTGCAGTGACATTTGGGAACCACTAGGTTACGAAGTCACCTCTCGTGTGGGCAGGACCCGCGTGCTTGCCCCGGGTCAGGAGTGGCAGGTGAGCACGCTTCCTGGCTGGCAGGCAGCTGACATCGTCTTCTCTCCCACTTTCCCCAGGGCTGTGTCTGTGTCCTCCATGTCTGAGTTCCAGCGTCTGATGGACGTCTCTCCCTTCCTGCCGGAGAAGGGCCTGCCGGCTGCCAGCAACAAGGAGGACGTCACCCCGCCCCTGTCTCCAGACGACCTGAAGTACATTGAGGAGTTCAACAGCAAGAGCTGGGACGAGAGGCCCTCAGAGCCCTGGGCAGACAGGACCGAGGGAGGGCTGGCAGGGGATGAGGCCAGTGCCGAGCCTTTCCCCGACTCTTCCTGGTACCTCACCACGAGTGTCACCATGACCACGGACACTGTGACCAGCCCAGAGCACTGCCAGAAGCAGCCCCTACGGAGCCACGTGTGCACCGAGCAGGCCGGGGTGCGGCTGCTGCACAGCCCGCCCGCCGTCCGCAGGCTGGACAGCATTGTGGTGGCAGGGGGTGAGGGCAAGGGCCGGTCAGAGCCCGAGTGCCAGTTTCCCACAAGCAGAGCCAGGGTGGGCGCTGGAGACACAAAGGGGGTTCCCTCAGAACATGTGCTTAGCAGGTGGCCTTGTGCCCCCTCCAGACACCCCCGAGACTATGTGGAGGGAGGGCTGCGCCCCCTCGAAAGTGCCCTCTGCACCCCCCTGGGGTTTGCCTCCCCACTACACAGCCTGCAGATGGCCAAGAACATGAGTGATGACATGAAGGAGGTGGCCTTCTCTGTCAGGAATGCCATATGCTCTGGTCCCGCCAAGCCTCCACTCAAGGACATGGCCTGCCAGACCAATGGGTCCCGGACAACGGGGACACAGACCGTTCAGACCATCAACATTGGCCTGCAGACCGAAGCCCTGCGTGGCAGCGCCGTCACCAGCAGCCCCCACAAGTGTCTCACGCCAAAGGCAGGGGGTGGTGCCACGCCCGCGTCATCTCCTTCCCGCGGCCTTAGGAGCAGGCAGGTGGCCCCCGCCATCGAGAAGGTGCAGGCCAAGTTTGAGCGCACATGCTGCTCCCCCAAGTATGGGTCTCCCAAGCTGCAGAGGAAGCCCCTCCCCAAAGTCGAGCAGCCAAATAGCAGGACCTCCCTGGGGCTGGCCCCAAAGGGGTGCAGCGAGTCGGCCTGGGCCCGCTCCACCACTACACGAGAGAGCCCCGTGCACACCGCCATCAACGATGGCCTCTCCAGCCTCTTCAACATCATCGACCACAGCCCCGTGGTACAGGACCCCTTCCAGAAGGGAACGCGGGCTGGGAGTCGGTCTCGCTCAGCAGAACCTCGGCCGGATCTGGGCCCAGGCCAGGAAACCAGCCCCAGTTCCCGGGGACGGTCCCCCAGCCCCATCGGGGCTGGCTCAGAGACGTGGAGGGAGGAAGGGGGAGAAGGCACGCCCTTGAGGCAGGACTTATCTGCTCCCCCTGGTTACACGCTCACTGAGAATGTAGCCCGGATCCTCAACAAGAAGCTGTTGGAGCATGCCTTAAAGGAGGAGAGGAGGCAGGCCCCCCACGGGCCCCCAAGTCTTAACAGTGACAGCCACATGGGAGAAACAGTCAAAGCTGAACCAGGGTCCATCGAGGTAATAAGGCTGAGTATTCCAACCCTCATCCCACCAGCTCTTCTGTTTAAATGCCAGGAAAACATGTGTAAACCTGGGGTTTTGCTAGGTCATCTGATTTCAAGGATCCTTATCCATAATAGGTTCTTGTGAGCTGGGAAGATACAGGGTTTATGGGAGAATGGTATAGGCAGAAACACAAGCCCTGAGCTACTCCTAAAGAAAAGTTCATATTACTGTCCTCAGTGATCCCTTCTTGAAGATGTAGCTCGAGGTTTGATTCAGGTTCGCTGGTCTGGTGTAGGTGATTGATGCTCATCTGTTTATCTGGGCCTTTCACTTAGGGTTATAATTTGCCCTCTTTCTGTGTGAATTTGTGTCCTAGAAAAGCGTATGTGTGAAATGTGTGAGAGTCACGTCAGGCCTCTCTGCATGCTCCAGATCTTTATCCAGGACAACACAAGAGGTGTGCCAGAGAGGGTGTGATAGAGTGGATGCTAGAACATCCTTTATCAGGAATGTACGAGAAGGTCTGGATTCCAATGCTGGCTTCAGTACAGAATAGCAGTCCTCTGTCTCACAAATCCCATGCCCCCTGCGACCACGAATCTCCCTGGCCGTAAAACCAGGTGAGACAGTTGGATAAGATCAAAATTCTGCCTTCATACGATGTGATTATTACTATTACCCCCCTTACATCTCTCATCATCACACTGTATATGACCACACATCCCGGCACCTGTTATTACTATGCGATTTTTATTACATCCCCCTTAGCATTATTTACTGATCGGTCAGCAATGAATTTTGTTCTCACACATTTCCACACGCAGTATGTCCATACCACACCACTTTAAAAACAATCCACGTTTCCACTTCAGGAATGAGCGAAACAAAGCCTGACAGTAATGCTGGGACTGAAGGCATGGGGTTGTGGGCCTGGTGCGGTGAGGCCGCACACGGTCCCCGCCACCGTCAGACACTGTTCGGCCCGGGATCCCGCGTGCAGACTGGAGGGTGAGGCCAACTCACCACTAGCCCAGATGGACAGACTCCACACCCGTGGAATCCAGACACCCCTAACCATTCTCCAGGCGGCTCCTGCAGATGGCAAGGGTCGGAGAGGAGAGACACATGCTCCCTGGGCTGCAGCCCTGGCTTCACAGGTGCAGAGACGAGGCAGGTGTGTTTGCACATTTCCCCGGTGGTGGGGGAGGGGGTGGTGGTCAGTGGCTCCCAGGCTAACCCACCAAATGGTAAGTCAGCTCAAAATACAGAGTTTAAACCACGTGAAATTGCCAGTGACCTACAGAAATGGCAATTGCCATTTCATTCAACCTAATATTGATAGTATGTTGGCCATGTTCCGAACATACGAGTCTTTGTGATACAGTTGTTTACATGCTCTGAGAAGAACAAATACCAAGGTTGAGAGTTCTTGGGTGACAAATGGTGTCTTCTGCGGGCTTCTGTTACCCCATCCTTCCAGGGGCCTGAGGTAGGTGACTCACTACTGCAGAGGGCTTATTTGTGTGAATGCCCCACCTTCTTCAGGCTCTGGAAGAATTCGGGGAAATGAGGGCTCTGTCCCAAAGCATTAACTGGGTGTGTCTGCATTGTCCATTAATGTTAGAAACTAAAGAGAAATTAATGTTTAGGAACCAAAAAGGGCTTTGAGTTAGAACAACTGCTCCAGGCAATCTGTGATAGTAGAAAGACAACCGCTTAATGGCTAAATCACAGCTCCAAGGCGTGAAAACGGTTTTATCAGTTCAGAACTGTGCCTGTCCCCCTGCCACTTGGGTCCTCTGTAAAGTGTCTGTTCAGATTTTCTTCTCACTGGGTGTGTTTGAGACGAAAGAGATGATTGGCCAAGTTGGGGGGATTCAGAACCTGTGTGGAGCCTTCACTGGCAGAGAGTAAATGTGGGCTCTTTTTTCCTTTTCTGTTGGAATTTTGCTTGCTCTAGATTCCAGTGGAGTTCTTCCTTGTCTAAACTGACTTCCTATATTAGGCCTATTGGAAATCCTTTCCCATCACTCCATAAATTATGTAGTAAGTAGTTCTGGGTTTTCATTCCAAAATTACCAGAACTAATGCGGATCATCCAACCTGCCCTGAGCGCCCGGCTGTGGGCCCTTCCCTGAACGCTCCGCCGGATGCCTGGACAGGGACCTCCCTGGTGGGGGGGCACAACAGTAAATCTCCCTTGTCTTTTCTCGCTCCCGCCCCATGGCTATATTTACCCTCTTTTTCTCTTGAAGCTGTAGCACCAGCTCCACCTTGCAGAGAAGCTAAGAGGGGAGTTGTGGGGTGAAGGAAAAGAATAATCTGGAAATGCAGTGCTATTCTTCCCTCCCGGGTCTAGTGGACAATACAATGGGAAATTTTCAGTGTGAGCAATGACCACGTGATCACTGTGACTAAAACAGACCATTTAATCCTCTGTTTCAAATACAACAGTCATGTGACTTCCATCTCTATGCACACCAAAGGGTTTCTGAAATGTGAAATGCTAAAGGGCAAATCAGGGAAGAACAGAAAGCAGAAGAGAGAGGTCTGTTGCTGTTCTGTCCTGAGGGTCCTTCCGTGCTCCGGACTACCTGAACCCAGGCAGAGCAAGGCCTGTGTACGTGCGAGGGCACCTGCCCGCTTCTGCGGGCCTCACGTTTCTCCTGATAGCTGTCCCTGGAACTGCCACCAGGCTTGTTGACTTTAAACCTTTACTGTTCTTCTTTTTAAAAAAATACTTTCCAACCTACTTGCTTTTCTTTTCTTTCTCTGTCTGTTCTGTCCAGAACCAAACTGTCTTACTAACTGCCCCATGGGGACTCTAGCCCTGCCTGCCTCATGCCGTAAGTGCTTTCTACCTTCTTTGCACACCATCTGGAAAGGTCCTCTGTGTAATTTGGGGTTGGTATCTGACACTCAGAAATGAGGCCGAATCATACCGGATAGATCTGCCCTGTCCATAGAGCCCGCCACCTGCTTGCACTGGCCTGGGGTCCATAAAATTCAGGGACCGATTGGTAGGCCTAGACATTCCAGAGATTTCTGCTCTCTGCTTTCAGAGGGGTAAAGGGATATTGGCCAGAGAGGGGACTGTCTCGGGCATAGAGGCCTGGCCTGTGGGGGTCTGTGAGCCCAGTGTTTTCCCAGTCAGCTGCACCTGCTCACTGGTATTCTGGAGGCACATGCACATCACCAGATGCTGTAGTGAGGTGTGACCTTAACACAATGAAGCTTTTCTCTCTTTTTCAACAACTGCACCAGAAGGAATAAATCCAAATGTATCTTGTCCTTCCAAGTGATCACCATAGATGACATAGTAAGCACTCAATAATGAATCAACAGCAAAGCCATCCCTTGTTCCAAAAAATAGCCTCAGAATTGCCGTCTGAGCCTGAATCAAGGCTGAAAAAATACCAACATAGCATTTGATCAAGAATTAGTCGCCCGCCCACCTCACCCACTGGTCTTAACTTGGAGTGCTAAATGCAAAAATGCGATTGGCTCTCAAAGACGAAAAAAGTGCTCCCAAGATAAAATGGCCACATAGCCCATTGCAGTAGCCTCTCAGGGAAGGACAAGATGGTTTGCTTGTCTGTGCTGGTGTGTAACTAAAGAAAAAGCTCATTCTTCAACCCGTGGTCACGCAATTCTTCCTATAGGCGTTCACACGGGGAAGAGGTGGCACCACACTGTCTAATCAAAAGCCCGTTCTGGTTCAGCATCGGCCAGATGGGAAAGGGCTGCAGTGGTGTAGGAAAAAAACCTATGGTAGCAGCCATCCCAACGTTCAACACCCTGCCACACTTGTAACACACACCACACACTCATACACAGCACATGCAGCACGTAATACGCACAAGATGACCCACAACGCGCACACAGCGTATCCTCCTACACAACGTGATGCCACACCTACACAACACGCTTATACACTACACAACACACAAATCTTAACAATGCCAGGAGCAGAGACAGAAAAAGACAAAGCGGTGGCGGATTTCCCAAGCCCCGCATCAGCAGCGCATGCGCAGGGAGGGGCTGAGGTGAGGGGAGGACAGCTCGCCCAGCCTAGTTTGCATTTCAGCTATTTCAGGCCGGGCTTCGTGGGCGAGGTCTTCCTGGTTGCCATGGTTCCCATCAGCAGAGTGCTTTTCTAATCAAGGCTTCCCCATCCTGTGCTACGACGTGCAGTCACAAAGAGGCCCGGACGGTTAGGAGTAGTCTCCAGTGTTCATGCAATTTTCCGCTGGGCCCAGGGGGAGGCGGGGACCACCTCACTCCATCACTCTTCCAGAAGCACCACGCCGGCGCTCCACCTTTCGCCTTCCCTCTTCCCCCTCCTTCTCCCATTGCCCATGGACACAGCCCACCGTCTGGTCTCTGCTGTCACTCCCTGCTCCGCAGACTAAACCGCCCTCATCCCGGCCTCTGCGCGCTTGCTCGTCACATCTCTGTCGGTCCGCTGCCGCCCTTCCTGACGGGCTCTGAGCGCCTGTGTTCTCTGTCATTCTTCGTTGCAGTGGCTTACCATCTCGGCTTTTTCTCGTTTGAGTGTCCCTTGCGCGGCCGGGTTCCGCCCCGTGGAACTCACCGTTTTCTCACGCCCCCACCGCCCTCCCGGGCACCAGCATGCTCCAGGTGTGGGCGTCCTTGGTTCCCATCCTGCAGACTAAGCAGATCGACACTCATTAACCCTAGAAAAGGAGCACGAGCCCTTGAGAAGAAGTATGGTGGGGGGTTGGCCCCCCCGGTTGAGTGTGTCGTGCATGATCTGTTCTCAGAAGGCATAGGATGCCTGTGACAGAAGCACAAGCACTCTGATTCCACTTTTTAAAATGCTGCAGCAAGGAAGAGTCATTAAAGAAAACTAGACCGAAGTTAAAATTTCAGCCTGCAGCATTTTTTCCATGTCGTGGGAGTTTGTTTGACCCACTGCCAGTCAACTTGGAATAAGCAGTAGCAGAGTTCGTTTTAAGGTGAGTCTTGTTGCTAATGCAGCTGGATAAATCATGGGTCTCTTCATGGGCCTCCAACAGACCAAAGCATAGGGAGGCTGGCCTCTTAGGCCCGGGTCACTGTGGCTAGTAGATCATTCAGGAGGGCCAAAAGGTTGGGGTCAGCAGGGTCAGGATGTGACCAGGTGGCCTGTGGCCTTCCCCACCTTCCATCGGCTCCAGCCCAATTCTGAAGATGCTGCGCAAACATATCCATCTCACGGCATTGCCATATTTTAATCATAATTTGCTATCTTCTCATTACTGTGCCACTGATCATCCGAGTTGAATTTTTCACTTAACATTTTAAATTATCCTCCCTGAGCAAATATAAATTAACATTCTGAAGTTGCCCCTGATCCATTGCATTGACCTCGAGTCTGTTGAGAAGTGTGTTTGGGGAGAGTCACTCCCCCCTCCCCAGAGGAACTGTCAGTCTGAGTAACCCTGTCTTTCTCTTTCTCGGCTTTGAAGGAACTACCTTGTTCTGCACTAGCTCCATCCCTAGAACCCTGCTTCTCCAGGCCCGAGAGACCAGCAAACCGTCGCCCTCCGTCCCGTTGGGCCTCCCATTCCCCTACTGCCTCACCGGCTCAGTCACCCGGAGACCCAGCCTCGTTGGAAGAGCTCGGTGACGAGGAGCCACCCGGGGAGAAGACACACCTGTGACGAGTGCAAGTTTGCATGGATTAGCGGGGAATAATTCCCTGTAATTTGCATAACCACACCGTTGTCATCAACCAAGCTCCGCCCACAAGAAGAGATCTAGCTTTCCCAAGGTCAAAGAATGTTTTTTAAAAAACACACAGCTGCTGAATGTCCAACCTGTGAACCTGAGGTGTTTCTAGAATGAAACCGTAAACGTGCCTGTAATAACTTAATTTTTTTCATAGCTCAGAAAACTATTTTTGTCTCCATCTTTTTTACACACAGTATATTAAGCAAAAAAAACCTAGATAAGATATAAATTTAAAAAATAAAAGTTTTAAAGATGTACATTTTAAGAGATTCTGAACACCCTTGCTCTCAATACTGACTGCCTCTCTGTTAAATTTGCACTGTTACACTGGTTTGGTTTATTTCCACGTTGAATTAGACTGTTTTAAGTTAATTTTATTTTGTCAGTGTTTTTGTTTTTTAAGAATTTTTTGAAATGCGTCAGACTGTCTGATTCAATGAACTTTTTTGTAGTGAAAGAGCCATGAAGCCAGTCGACAAGACAGAAATCCTCTCTACAGGAGGGGATACGCATCTGCATTCTTACAAAGGTACAGAGTCCTCAGCTGGGCTTACCAAATTCGCTGTATAATCCACATCCTCTACTCAACTTGCACGTCTTTGGGTTCGAAGCGCTGGGGTGCATGTACATATCGCTACTGTGGTCTCACCATCGCCTGTAAGTGTGAGTCATCTGTCCCACCGTAATACATTGTGAATCCCTCATACAGTACTTTTACCATTGTCCTCTTGCATTGAGATACAACAGCAATGGCATTTTTAAATTATTGTTAACGATGAACTGGCAATATACAGTGTTTACTCAAAATTTTCTTGTTTAAGGAAAAGCACTACAAAAAGTCAGGAGGGTACCACACTGAATCAAAGGATGGTGCCTCGGAGTCTGTATGAGACCATGATGAAGTAGAAATAAAGCCTTTACGAGATGGCGGCCTGTGCCGGGACCTCATGTTTCACGTGCCCTGCATCCTCTCCTAAGGGCTCAAGCGACAGTTTTCCTAGCCAGGGGAATCAGGGAAAGGGGAGGTCCTGCTACTAACACACCTCACCTAACTAACACACCCTGAGTGCGTGGTGTGCCACAGCTTCCCTGTTCTCTGTAAGAGCGTCCTGGGGTTGATGAAAAGGCGACTTCGTTGTGGTTGAAAACATGGCGGGCATGGAGGTGTGAAGGAACTGTTACCCACAAATCCAAATGTGCCCAGCCTCCCTCCCTCTCCCCTCCTTGGGAAAGTGGGAGTGGCCAATCACTTGGCTGGTGCTTCCCTCCCTGACCGAGAGATGTCACCCGACCTGTCAGTAGGTGACAGAGTAGGGGTTTTTAAAGAGGTGATGCTGCCAAAGAGCGTAAGAACTACTTCAGGCCGAATGTCCTTCTCTAGACTTGCTGACAGAATAAGCTCTGTTCCCAGTGTTACCACAGTTCCACCTTTAAATATTTTCCCCCAAAATGGAAAATGGCAGCTATCGGTGAGGACGTGGAGACACTGGAACCTTGGGGCACTCCTGAGGCAGCCACTGTGGAGAACAGCATGGTGGTCCTGAAGGGAAAGCGAATCATCTGTGCTCCAGCAGCTGTGGTCATAGCCCAGAAGAATTGAAAGCTGGGACTTGAACACTGCACACTGATGTTCACAGCAGCATGATCCACAAAGCCAACCAGTGGAAACACCCTGTCAGTCAGCAAGAGAGTAAATGAGATGTGGTCTGTCCACACACTGGAATACTGTTCAGCCTTAGAAAGCCAGGAGATTCTGGCACATACGTGCTGCCTACCACATGCACCAGTCTTGAGGATGCTATGTTAAGTGAAAGGAGCCGCTCAATCACAAGAATAACAAATACTGTATGGTTCCACTTCTAAGAAGTACCTAGAGTAATTAAATTCATAGATATAAAAAGTAAGGTAATGGTTACCAGGTTACATGGGGAGAGAAAAGAACAGGGAGTTAGCGTTGAATGAGTACAGTTTCTGTTTGGGATGGTGAAGTTCTGGAAATGGATGGTGGTGATGGTGGCTCAACAATATGACTGTGCTTAATACCCCTGAACTCTACACTTAAAATGATTAAAATGGTAAATGTTAATGTACA